GTTCTTGAAACTTAATTGTAACATTTTGGGCACCTACATTTTTTATTTTCTCTATCTATCACTGTCAATGTAGGCCTCATTTTTGCTTTACCTGCTTCTAAGAATGTATTTCTGTGCAAAATTAGAACTTCAGATGTTTTTCCGCATCATTTATGCCAAGATGCGATCTCTTCAATGCCGTTAAAACAGGAGGTAGAATAGCAAACTGTTTCCTGACAACCCATTTCATATTTGTTTAAATTTCACTCCAAAAAAAAATAGTATTCATCATCCAGGAAGAAGTAATGCCGTTACAATATTTAATGGCAATCCATCCAATATATATATGACATATATTGTTCATTTTTTAAGAAATGGGAAGGATTTGTTTGTGTACTGTGCAGGACATCAAGTGGCCATATGCTCCATCATTCTTTCTCCCTTCTCCTTATATTCCTTATACTTCCTCCCCCTCTGTCCCTCCCATCTGCCCCCCCCCTCTTCTCCGTAGAGCTGTCTCGACTCGGTATGAAGGATTAGAGTAGACAAAGACAGATCCAAGAGCCGAGTCTGTTGTTCTCTCAGCAGGAAAATATACTAATGCCTTTCTAAAGTCTATTGTCTATTATAGATTACTAATTTTCCTCTGTCATGCTGAATACAAATAAATAGAAATGATGGTTTACTGTTACGAGATTAACTGTTTAACCACTGCACAAATGAGATGGAGTCAGTGGATAGACTGAGAGCAAATGTACCCACCGACACTCATAATGATTTAAGGGCATACAACAGAATAATCAGCTGAATATAAAAAAGTAAACAAGTCATGTTTACCCTATTTACATGGCATGGAGTTCACATGTTGTGACAGTTACATATCTTCATGTTCTCCTTCGTGCCCACAACATCCCTGGCCCCTGCATAATTCAGGAGTCAACTCTATATGGCTTGTATGTTGCGTGCTGTAGACTCAACCTGCATAATGGACCCAAGATTGCATTGAGTGGGAATATAAACTCTCTACATGCTTCTTCTTTCTTCTTGATTTTTTGTTTTATTAGCATCAATATTTCTTGTTTGTGAGTGTCAGTATTCCCTGTGCAATAAGAGGAGGAATCCCAAAGACAGAGCCGGTAGAATTGCATGTCTGATAAGTGATTGGAGAGTGAATGAATTATAGCCTGGAGACCTTTAATGAGGCCTCAGTGGGAGGGAGGGTATCACTAGAGAAGGGGGTGGTGGGCAGGTGAAGGCAGCTGCAGCTTCCCCAAAGAGCAACCTCCACCCCCTCTCCTTCTTTCCTTCACTCCTTCCACCTTTTTCTACCTTTTCTGTCGTCCGCCCTCCATGTTTTCTATAGTGCACTTATCCCCTTCTGTTTCCTCAGCACTCCCCCATCCTCATTACAGACGCCTGACACAGCGCATGTTCAGTCCTTTGTGTAGCAATGCCCCTTTATTACCGGGTTAAATGGCAACAAATCCATATATGGAGCAGAAGTCCATTTGATGACTACAGTGCTTGTGTGCAGAGGTGTGCGGACGAGTGATTACATCTGATTACGAAAAACAAAAAGCTTGTGGTCGGGGTTTATTAAAAACGGTATTTGGAAATGGCTATTGGCAAGCATGAAAAGCAATGGGAAGCCTGCAACCCCAACACTTGTGCCAATCCGCTCTGTCTGTCTCACACACACACACACACACACACACACACACACACACACACACACACACACACACACACACACACACACACACACACACACACACACACACACACACACACACACACACATCTCCTGCCAATCTGTCCTTTTTGTGTTGTTCTTCATCTCGGTGTCATGGTGGTGCCTGGCGACTCAGATCGTGAGAGGAATTTTAGACCACACTAAACTTGGTTTGTGTGCATGATACACTTCAGGATATCGGACTGGGTTGCCATAGCAGATTTATTCATCCAAAGCAACTCACAACAAAATACTTTAGAAGGACTGATGATATTTGACGTGACTGACAAGCAGACACTTCAGCTTCTCACTGCTCAGTTAGGTTTTAGTTCCTGCACACTCATTTGAGAAAGTTGAATAAGTCTTTTCAGAGCAGCATTTTCCCAGCACTGTCAATGCTTTTAGATTTGTGGGTGTGTGTGTGTGTGTGTGTGTGTGTGTGTGTGTGTGTGTGTGTGTGTGTGTGTGTGTGTGTGTGGGCTGACTGACATTGAAGTGTGGATAAAGCAAGAGAAGGATGTGATTACTATGCACATAGCTGTTCCAGGTTGTCTATGAGATGTTGTTAGCTGAAAGTGGAGCCTCTGCGGATCCTCCTCTGTAATCTCCTGCAGGCCTGATTGACAGCTGGATGGCAGCTCTCAAACAGATGTTGCCGCGGCGACTGGGCAAAGAAAACTCTCTGCCAGTGTAGCTTGAGGATGAGCCGACTATTTAGAAAATGAATGAGCAGATAAAATGAGAGTAACAGACACTGAATGAGACAAAATGAGATGTCGGTGCTGTTCCCTTCCTTGCAGCAACACATCCGGTCTGCACACCTTTAGGTGCCAGATACCACGAAATAATGAAAATAAACTTGTTCCGCTTTACGTGTGTTACTTTAAAACCCAGGAATGGTGAAAGATGTAATGAATGACATATTTATGAACATCTATTTATGTTTTCCCTCACCAGTTTGTTTATGAAACCCTCAGCATCATCTTACAAAATGCCTCCCTTTGATCATCATTCATGTTGAAAGTTTGCAGCATTTATTTCCACCGAGAGATAGATCGCGTGCAAACGGCGCATAAGAGTAAATCTGTGTTTGTATATCTGTCATCCTGTCATGAATATAAAAAGAGGCGGCTCACTTTTACATGTGTGTAGGGGGCTTTATGCGTTGGTGGGGAGACCTCTGCGTTAGTGTGTGTGTCAGCGTGGGGGATGGGTCGGAGCTGAGTTTGCGTCTTTGTCTGTCAAATAAATTATTTAAATCCTGTTACAATTAAAGCTGAAATCTGTTATCAGCGTCCTCCATTAGAGGCCGTGTGTCTGCCTTGCTGCCTCAGTATGCTCCCCCTGTCTGTGCTCAGCGTGAAGCCGGGTAAAGACCACAAGCTCTGCATCTTAAACACACATCCCAGCAGAACAAAGGCTAACAGCGCGCCTGTGACCCAGGGACTCTCATGCACACACTGAATGTCTTCATCACATGAGTGTGCAAATATTCTGACAGCGCTTTTTCAATAACATTTTACTTGTCTCAAGAGTCATTGTGTGTTTATTTTTGCAGGATGTTGACTGAGGTGTAAGATGTGTGATCTGAGAGAGGAGGGTGTGAAGTGTGTACAATCGGGGTTGCCTGTTTGAAACATATGGCAAACACCTTCGTGGTAATGCATGATGGGATATCTGTTAGGGCCCTGATCTCTTTATTCACACCTTGTTCCTCCCTCTTTTAACTTTCACTGCCTCTCTCCTTTCCTCAGTCTCATTATTCCCCCCTTGACAGCCATTCTCTCGCTCTTTCCCTTTTACCTCGCTCCCTCTCCTCTTTCCCTGCATATTTCTTTATCGCTGTAGCAAACTGCCCATTAGTCATCTTAGAAAGCAGCCTCCTGTGTGTGTGTGTGTGTGTGTGTGTGAGTGTGTGTGTGTGTGTGTGTGTTTGTGTGAGTGTGTGCACATTGATGTCAGTGTATTTCATTTGAATAATATAAGGTATATTAACTTTGGAAAATGTGACTTTGTGAAAGCTCAGATAATATTTGATCAAACAATCCGTCTGCCGTCAGAAGAAAAACAATTTCATGCCATCTGCATTATTACAGCAACTGATTTTTCTTTTCTTTCAACACTCTGTCCTTTTGTCAAATACATCACAGTTTTTACATAGTGGATATTAAATCTATTAATACTTTGAGCTGATCCATGACAAAATAGACGTAGAAATTGGACATCGATCTTTTAGACTCCTTTTTTGTGCACGCTTACAAACAGCCTTGCCAATGGTGTAGTTGTTTGAAACGACAAGCCGCTGACTCAGCAAATGTAAATTAAGTTTGAAGTTTGTTTTGCTGATTGTACTATTTTAGTTTTATGTTTCTCCCTTCTGGTGCAAGGTTGACTTTATTTGTTCTTAGCATTTGGATTTTGTGTGCGTGCGTACAAGCTTTTGGCTTAGCAAACGCTCACCGTATGTAAAAATAAAGAAATAGCACTTCAGCAGTATTGTGTGTGTGTGTGTGTGTGTGTGTGTGTGTGTGTGTGTGTGTGTGTGTGTGTGTGTGTGTGTGTGTGTGTGTGTGTGTGTGTGTGTGTGTGTGTGTGTGTGTCCGTCCATGTTCAGGTTACTTAATTGTGAGAAAGTATGCTAAAACCTTCTAAATAACACTTTAAAACAGTAAGAAAGGACATACCCCTGTTCATATGCCGCATTCCTCTTTGTGTGTGTGTGTGTGTGTGTGTGTGTGTGTGTGTGTGTGTGTGTGTGTGTGTGTGTGTGTGTGTGTGTGTGTGTGTGTGTGTGTGTGTGTGTGCGCACACAATAGCCCATACATCTCTGTCTCAGATTGGGCCAGCAGTGTGTATCTCCGTTGGGATTCTTGGGTCCAGCTCTGCTGAGAAAGCACACACAGAATGATTTCCTCTTATTTATGCCTATCTTTCTCTTCCTTCCCCCTCTCAATTTATTTCCTGCCTCCTTCCCATTCTGCCTGTGTCACTACTTATTTTACAAGTTACTGACCTTCACTTGTCCTTCATTCCTTGGACACACACACAGATACACACACCAGACATTTGCTCCAAGGCGTGATTTGTTTAATTGTGTTTGTGTGCTGGAAATAGCCACGTCCCTGTATGCTGGTCATAATTAGCAGGGCTGATGCTCTGAAGCTCTGAGCTGCCGAGACTGCATACAATAATCCTATAAAATACAAGCACGTCTGCATATCTGAGCGACACTTGAATGAAAATCACACATTTTCTAACTTCTCTGTTTTTCTTTCCTCTCTGTTCCCAGCGATCTGCTGTCTTCGGGGTATGTGGAGAGGCATTTGTCAGAAAAAGGGAAGACTGTCATCACCAATGTAAGTTCCTCCAAATCATCTCTTCTCACGCTCACTCACTTTTATTATCACTGTTTGCTGTTAGAAAGAAAGCTTAAGGGTTTGTTAAGGTGATGTGGTCTTGACAATCCTATTCAGCCAAGGTGTTCTCATGCAATCGGGATGTTTGTTATGTGGATAAAGATGAGTGCTTTTAAACACTCACTGTGATTACATACAGAACACATTCAAAAAGCTGTCAGCCAAACCACATCTCGATGTCATCTGGATTGAGTTATCAAGTACAATCTTTGCACTTTGAAAATATTCCTAAAGCTATTGTAATCAATATGTTTATATCAACAATGGATGAAATATCTGTGTACTCAGCAAAGGCCTTACTTTGTTGATAACCCCTCAGAGAATTCTCTACGGTTCCACCTCAGTTATTCTGAGCATCTTAACATATTTTACGTCATTCTGTTGTTTTGACCACTTCGCAATGTGACTGTTTTGAGTCACTCTCACTGCTCTTGGCTGCTTCATTTTTGACCCCAGTAGTGAGAGAAAAAGTTTGGATGAACAGACGGCACATGACTTGTTCAGAACGAAACAGCTGCATCATTTGCATATTGAGATTACATCACAACTCGTTGACTTGAGAAAACAAGAACCCTTATTAATATCATGTGTTAATGTAAAACAAGACAGTTAGATGTATCAAGGCAATGTATCAATATACAAAACACATGTTAATACCAGTGTGTAATGTAGCAGAGTTCAGTTTGCTGAGTTTATATATATATATATATATATATATATATATATATAGGATGGATCCTGCTGCGATGGCGTTATTTTTTACCTGACTCTGAATTCAAAGACACAGCAGAGTAGCTGAATCGGCTCCAAGGACAGTTTTTTTTCCTCAGCAGTTTGTTGTACAGCTGCATTTTGCTGCAGACCCCACAGGCTCTTCCCTCTCAGAGCCTTTTATTGGTTAATCAATGTCTTACTTTGCACACTCAGAGAAATCACAGCCCCTCCATTTTTTATTCAGGTGAGATTTCAGAGGGCCAAAGTGTCCTACACCTTTAATTTACATGAAATTAAGATCCCTGCGATAATCCTCTGAAATCTGGACTTCAGTTACAGGACATCCACTGAGGGTTATATCACATAAGTGGGGGGATTATACTGGTCAGGTTTACTCAGCTAAGCAGCAGATTAGTAAGATATTAGATTTTACAGAGAATGATCCAAATCCAAAATTACACTACATATTGTGTGATATAGTCACTTGTAATTATGGAACTTATTATAAAGCAATCTCCCTGTGAATTATTTCAGCTTGTGGATGAATATCCAGAATGTACCCACAGTGCAAATGATTTGGTCATGCTTTCCATTTGAGATAGCAAAAAGAACAAGAGGCACTTCTTTATTAATGGCTGCCGTTCAGAAAGGTTAATATGAGACAAGCTGCTGTTTGTTACTCTGCTCACTGTAGAGGTCAAAAGCCAATGTAACACAGTAGACTGACTGTATTCATACACAAGTGGTGAGGCACTTTCTGCCTCATGGACAGCAACATATGATGTATTTTGTGCCATATCGTTATCTTTTATCTGATTGAGCACATTTTACTGACATTCAGAGGGCAAAGTGTCCTACTTGATAACCAGCAGACCTACACCTAGTTATTGTGTATGGTGGCGTCCAGATTAGATGATGAATTACTCTAAAATGAGTCTAAGGAGAGCACAGATCAGACCAGTTTAGTAACACACACACACAAGAACCCGCACACACACGCACACACACTGAGGATGTACCCACAGCGCTGGGTTTTGGGTGTTTCTCGCTTTGATGAGAAGTGGAGCAGAAGGTTCAGGGCGACAGGGGGAGAAGAGACGCTGGATAGTAGAGCACAGCTCCACTTATAAATAGCCCTCTGTCTCTTCAGCGAACACTTGTCTCTTTACCTAACCTCTCCGTCTTCATCTGCAGCTCCATCCAGCCTTATCTACCCAACTTGTACAACTTATTTTGTTGCAGCCCATTTACAGTGGGGCAAAAAAGTATTTAGTCAGCCACCAATTGTGCAAGTTCTCCCACTTAAAAATATGAGAGAGTCCTGTAATATTCAGACAAAATGAGAAAAAAAATTCCAGAAAATCACATTGTCTGATTTTTAAAGAATTTATTTGCAAATTATGGTGGAAAATAAGTATTTGGTCAATAACAAAAGTTCATCTCAATACTTTGTTATATACCCTTTGTTGGCAATGACAGAGGTCAAACGTTTTCTGTAAGTCTTCACAAGGTTTTCACACACTTGCTGGTATTTTGGCCCATTCCTCCATGCAGATCTCCTCTAGAGCAGTGATGTTTTGGGACTTTCAACTCCCTCCAAAGATTTTCTATGGGGTTGAGATCTGGAGACTGGCTAGGCCACTCCAGGACCTTGAAATGCTTCTTACGAAGCCACTCCTTCGTTGCCCGGGCGGTGTGTTTGGGATCATTGTCATGCTGAAAGACCCAGCCACGTTTCATCTTCAATGCCCTTGCTGATGGAAGGAGGTTGTCACTCAAAATCTCACGATACATGGCCCCATTCATTCTTTCCTTTACACGGATCAGTCGTCCTGGTCCCTTTGCAGAAACACAGCCCCAAAGCATGATGTTTCCACCCCCATGTTTTACAGTATGGCGTTCTTTGGATGCAACTCAGCATTCTTTCTCCTCCAAACACGTCTAGTTGAGTTTTTACCAAAAAGTTCTATTTTGGTTTCATCTGACCATATGACATTCTCCCAATCCTCTTCTGGATCATCTAAATGCTCTCAGCAAACTTCAGACGGGCCTGGATATGTACTGGCTTAAGCAGGGGGACACGTCTGGCACTGCAGGATTTGAGTCCCTGGCGGCGTAGTGTGTTACTGATGGTAGCCTTTGTTACTTTGGTCCCAGCTCTCTGCAGGTCATTGACTAGGTCCCCCCGTGTGGTTCTGGGATTTTTGCTCACCGTTCTTGTAATCATTTTGACCCCACGGGGTGAGATCTTGCGTGGAGCCCCAGATCGAGGGAGATTATCAGTGGTCTAGTATGTCTTCCATTTTCTAATAATTGCTCCCACAGTTGATTTATTCACAGATTCAGTCTTCCCAGTTCATGTACTTAGATACTTCCTGTGTCACATGCGGAGACGGGCTGTGCAGGTCTACAATTTTGTTTCTGGTGTCCTTTGACAGCTCTTTGGTCTTGGCCATAGTGGAGTTTGGACTGTGACTGTTTGAGGTTGTGGACAGGTGTCTTTTATACTGATAACGGGTTCAAACAGGTGCCATTAGTACAGTTAACGAGTGGAGGACAGAGGAGGCTCTTAAAGAAGAAGTTACAGGTCTGTGAGAGCCAGAAATCTTGTTTGTTTGTAGGTGACCAAATACTTATTTTACCGAGGAATTGACCAATTAATTCATTAAAAATCCTACAATGTGATTTCCTGGATTCTTTCCCCCCATTCTGTATCTTAAGTGTACCTAGGATGAAAATTACAGGCCTCTCATCTTTTTAAGTGGGAGAACTTGCACAATTGGTGGCTGACTAAATACTTTTTTGCCCCACTGTATATGTTCATAAATATGCTCCCTATTTAGCCAATAATGCACCCACTTTTAACTGTGTAAACTGTGCATTGGAGTTATTTCTCCTGTCAGTTCTGGCCATATTGGATGTGGAAAGAGAAATTATAGACTGATATAGTTAGTAGCCTACTGAGAGAGAGCAGAAGAAGCAAAGCACCACAAATGTCCGCATGAATGATGCAATTTCACCAATAATGATAGCAATTTTGGCAGATGAGTTGATCACACACACAACAGTAAGGAAATAAGCACTATCAGAGTAATTTGGTCACATCTGTGCACATAACTTTGGATTGTTATTCGTGGTTTGGGCTAACATTGTCTCTTAGTTCCAAAAAGGAAACTCTCAAAGGAAGATTTTGGCATCTTAGAAAATACACTTATTCTCTCTCTTGCTGATCGTTTGACTGTATGGTGGTTATCAAAAAGCCACAGAGATAGTTAGCTCATTGTAGCATTAAGGCTACACAGGGAAACAGCTGTCCAAAGAAAATCCTCCTACAAGTATATTTCAAACTTAATAATACGGCCATATCTCCTTTGTTTGATCCACACAAAACACAAAAAAACTGAAATAATAACAGCGCAACTTTCTGGAGTTCCCAACCTCTTTGTGAAGACAACATAATGTATAGTAATAGGGGCTATAGGCACATATTGTTACATTTGGGCAAGCTAGCTGTTTCCCACTTTTTCAAGGATTTGTGCAGAGTTAGCTAACCAGCGGCTGGCCCCAGCTCCAATCTTTACACAAAAACAAAAGAGTTGTGTAAATGTTCTAATCTAGCTGGGCAGTTTGTCAGTGTTTAAAGCGGAAAATAACTTGGCTGGGACACTTAGAGCCATGACTTCAAACTCCTCCAAAAATGTTTAGGGTTGAATTGGATCCTGTATGAAAACCGGTCTTATTGCACAACATCATTTATGCTCTTGTGACTGAATGTGACCAAATTCCTGTTCCATAATCTTGTGGCAAGCAACCATCATAATGCATGTAGTTCAGGTTTTACATACTTTTGAGCATGTAGTTTTAAAAACCACAACACATGCTTACATGACTCCTCCGATAAACCCCTATACAGGGTCGGATTGGGATGAAGTCCACAGAGAGAGCTGGAGGTGGAAGTGGACGTAGCGGCTGCGTTGCTTTGCAAAGCATCAGACTGTAGCGAAGAAATTGATCCTCTGATAAAAGCTGCGTTTCCTCAGGGAGACCGGCTTCCTGCCTAATGGCTGTTAGGCAGCGAGAAATGGACCAGGAAGAGATGGCCTGCAGAGCACTTAGACACTTAGACATCATACACGTCTATAGAAAATAAAAGTGTGTTTACGCTCGCAGAGAAACACACACAGACATACAGGAGATAGAGAGCAAAGACAGACAGTATGGGTGGTGAGTTGTGACAGAGATGGAAAAACTTTTACCATTGACTGATGCTGAGGCCTACAATAGTGGGTAGAAGTTTGGAAAGAGGACAGAGCAGTTAACAAACAGATGGTTGGATGTGAATGAGTTCAACTCAAAGTGTTAAGCATGACACACACACACACGCACACATGCACACACACACACACACACACACACACACACACACACACACACACACACACACACACACACACACACACACACACACACACACACACACACACACACACACACACACGCATCTACAGCACATACTTGTTAGTGAATGGATTCTGTGTGATTGATCGCTCTGAACTCATTATCTGATGAAAGGTGGTAATAAAAACGTGGGACATTTTTCTTTCCGTTTGAGAGAATAAGACATGTGAAGAGGCCACCATGTGTATGATTTTAATCTGTGAGTGTTTGTGTGTTGCTACAGGGAGGAGAACACTGCTACTATCAGGGGAAGGTCAGAGACGTTCCTCACTCCTTTGTGGCTGTCTCAACCTGTCACGGTTTGCAGTAAGTACAATTATGATGTGACTTTATATGTGTACATGTGTGTGTTTCACTGCTTCCGCTGTGTGTCCAAGTCCTCTGCCTCGCTCCCATGTATCCATTAGGTCAATGTAATTAGTTTGAGCCAGCCTTCCTCTGTGTCTCTGCTGTTTTTGTGACAGGTTATCATTCTCACAGACAGGTGCTGCTCAGACGTCTTCTTTTCTCTTTCCTTGCTAGTGTTGGTATTTTTAGAGTTTTTACTCTGAAGCAGAGAGACGGGTCAGAAACAAGGCCTGCAGGGAGGAATGGATGCACACTGTATATGAGTTAGTATGTGTTATAGGGTGTGTGTGTGTGTGTGCATACGAAGAGATGAGAGGCAGGTGTATTGTGTGGTGTTGAATGTCATTGTCTGCGGACAATACAACACTTGCATAAAGAGGCACCTATGAATAATCAGGTATGACACATGCGCATGAATTACAGTTTTTCACAGTTGCTTCCTCACAATTCCTGAAAGCAAACATTATTTTCCCATTACATAAAAAGGAACATTTACACTACTTTGGCCAAACCTCAGACATTTAACCCGCTATGTGATATTTTGTAACCCTTGCTCTTTTTACATGAATTATTAAGGTGTAAAAAGTTATTGCAACATATAAGAAAGACACATTTATTGTACTATCGCTATCTGTAGGAAAAATATGAAAATCAGTGCTCGAAGAAGCTCCTTGTCGGTTTTATCTACTGCTTATTCACTAGCAATAATCTGTGTTCATGGAGTGTTTCATTATGCTTGATTGACTGAACATTTTCAGATTGTGCAACATTAATTTTCCTGGCAAAACAAAGAGTGTTGAGTGGCAGGCTTTGTAATAGTTTTCCGAGCACATTTAGGGTTTGATGTGAATAGCAATCTAAGCTTTGTAACCCATCACCTCTGCAAATTGTTGGCAGAATAAAACTATTTCATCTTGTTATTCCTTTTACTTGTTACTGGAAATATTATTCATCTGTCTCGATCCATTATGTCACATCAAAGCTTAATTCAGTCCAATATATTTTCATTCAACATAACATCAGGCTAAATAAACAAAATAATCAGTGCAGAGAAGTTAACGCATGTAATTAATGTAAATTGTGAAATCAGATTGATGATCGCTGAGTAAGCTACACTCGGGTCAGGCTTTTAATAACGTTGCATATTTCATGTGATTGTGGCAACATGTTGGGAAATGTGTCAGCACAGCAAATTAGCGTTGTAGCGTTGCACACAAAGCAAATGAAATGTAGGCTATGAATTAATCAAGTCATGACAAGGTAAATGCGTTGCACATGCAGTACATCATGACATGAGGTTACAGACTAAACGGGCTAAATGTTAATGCGTGACTTCTAGTTAGTCCAAATACAACATTGAATGATACAACATTAGTGTAGTAATAATACTGCTGTCATGCATAGTATGTATTTGTTATTGTTTGTTGCATTGGTATTAGAAGCTGTAGTATTTCAGTTATAGATTTATTTCAATGAGATCCACAGTTTTAGGTTTTTTTATTTCTGATTTTCTTAATGTGGAAATATATGCATACGCTGACATTATAAAGGAGACGGAGACACATTCATAGTATGCCCTGCACACACTAATTTGTGTGTTTGTGTGTGTCCGTGTGTGAGAGAGCCAGTAAAAGGGAGGGAGTTGAGGGAGTGCACAGTGGTGTCGAAGGGTTAGACATTAGAGGCAGAGTATTTCCCTTATGCTGAGTCAGGTATTTACAATAATATACATCCTGCTCTCTCATCTTTCTCTGTCTCTTATACAGTGCACGCACGCCACACACACACACGCACACACACACACACACACACACACACACACACACACACACACACACACACACACACACACACACACACACACACACACACACACACACACACACACACACACGAACACACACACACACACACACACACACACACACACACACACACACACACACACACACACACACACACACACACACACATATATACATTTTACCCTGTAATACAATAGGGCATTAACCGTGTAAAGCAGCATAGAGCTCTCAGCAGAGAGTTAATTATTGACGCAGGTTCCTGTTTGGAACATCCTCCATGTGTTTTACATTAGCTACATGAAATGAAAGAAATTAGGAATTATCATTTCCCAGAAAAGTTGTTTGCAGATGTTAAAATTGTGTTTAAACCAAAAAGGATGAACAGCTAAACTATGAGATGAAACTCTAGGACTTAAACACAAATACGCATTTCTTGTTTGACGAGAACCATAATTGTTGCAACTTTGGTATACAAATAATTGGGCCATGTCAAATCCAATCAGATTTGGGAAATGGCTCCTTTAAAGTTCTTTAAAGTTCAGAAAACAGTGGTAGTATTGTAAAATGTGCCCGTATTTTCTCAGCAGAATGTCCAGTGTTTGTTTTGGCTTGCCAAGAAATGCATAAAAAACATCAGCATCAGCATCTTGTTTCTTTTATTGATAACTACATTCAAACACTTATTTTTCATGTTGCTCAATTCTGATTTGCAGTGACAAACTATATTGAAAGGGTATACAAAAACAACACAGGGAAAATAAACACTAATAATTAAAACACACTTTGACCTGTGTTTCCACTGTGTTCAATCTGCTGTAAGTGCAGTGTTGGATCGTTACAGAGAGTGTGTGCTGAAGGTGATTGTGTGAAAGACAGACGGTTTTCCCCCTCATGGCTGTACAGTTTGACCCGACCAATCTCCTAAAAGCTTCAGATAAAGTTAATTAACGCAGGTGACTTTTATGTTTTGTGCACACGCAGGCGGGCAGACAAGACCTTCACCCAGCTGCCTATAGTTGGAAATAGATTTTTGAATTCTTAAATGATTGCTTGTCCTCTTCCTCTCCTACCTTTATGTGATACAAAGAGTTTTTCTTGTCAACTCATTAAATGCTTCATTGAGTATCACCAGGACTTTGCACAGATTCTCTGCTGAACCCTTTTACAAGTGTCATTGCAATTTGTGGTCATTCCGTTTATTCTCTTAGTTATTGCTCCAGAGATGGAATCCTTAGGTGACCTTTAAGTGATGCTGTGTGGGGGGAATATCTGAGCTGACTGGATGACCTTTTGTCTCGCACCACCCTCCACCCCTCCTCAGCCGTGCACATGTCAAACAGAGCAGCACAGCAGAGGATTCTGTCCAAAACTGCAACATGTAGGAAGGAGTGCATTGCCGTTATTATTCTGTCAAATGTTGCAAAAAACAACCATGGGCCAAAACTGAAATGGCCAATCTTACACATAACAATGGCTGAAGAGGAGTTTCATTCAGATGCATTATTCTTTTTGTGATGAACAAAACAACAGCGGTGTTGACATGTGCTCTCCTCTCTCTCTCTCTCTCTCTCATTCAGTGGGATGTTTTTTGACGGCAATCACACCTACATGATCGAACCTGGAGGACAGGGAAGCAGCAATGTGAGTACTCAACACTTAAATGTATGTATGTTTGTACACTGCTGATGTTTTATCAATTCCCCCTTCTTTCATGCTTTCATATCCAGCTAGATTTGTTGTAATTTCTGTGCTCAGATATTGTTACCTCATTTTTGCATACAACATGTAGTTCTACTGTACTAAAGGTTTTGATGGCCTATGTCACATGAAAGCAACATCCCTAGCTTTTATCCAAGTCTCTAAGCTAGGGATAGTATTATCAAAACAAATGTAGTTATCCTTTATTTACGATGTTAAGGCTTGGTAAGGTGGTTAACCAGGAGGATTGTCAAGTTTGCATCTGCACTCAGACCTTATGATTTGTGTACTTGTTTTCCTTCCAAGCGCACATTTGTGGATATACTTTATATTCAAATCAAGATTGTCACTTTTTAAAATTAGCTGAGCTACGTCACTGTACCTCCTGAGGTACACATACCCCTAACTAGAAATCACTACCCGGTTTATGTCTCTATTATTAGTGGAAAGAATAATTGTCCTGGTATTACAGGATTCATACGGGTCGGTTATTGTCCTGAGAAAAGGTTGAGATAAAATCAGAATCAGTTACAGATGATGGATTTCACTTTTTCTCTGTGAGTGTGACCCTCAGGGCTCGGGACACAAAGTCTGCAGACGTTAGAAAAGCCTACAGCCAATTAGATAAAAACAATTACAGCCAGGCATTATGGTCTGCATGAATGGGAAGATCTGAGATTCTCTAAAGATGCTTTGAGCATGAGGGTGACAGAACAAGCTGCTGAAACTGTGCGCGTGCTTCATTTCTGCTCTAATTAAAACATCCAGAAAAGTGTGTGTGGTGTTAATCGAAGGGACGAAAGGGAAGAGATAAGAGAGGTCAGGGGGTTGCCTCTGTGCTTTCGTCCGTGTGTGTGTGTGTGGAGGTGTGTAGGTGCACTTTTAGGTGTTGGTAGGGACTGTCTGGCACACAGCTACTTAAGGTTAATTCCCATATGACAGTGTTTAGTGCGAACAGCGTTAAGTGGATAGGAGAGGAGATAAAGAGAATGGATGGATGTAGGATCAAACTGTAGGGCTGAAGAGTGTTAAACTTAGAAGAAAGGGATAAAGAAGAAGCAGTGGAGCTGAGCAAAAACACAACATTTAATGTTATTAGATTGTCATTGAAAAGAAGAGGAACTAATTGGTTTGTAAGAGCAGTTATTATATCACAATTTACAAAAATAAAATACAGTTTAAGTTAAAGAAATAGAAAATTCCAAATGTGAAACATTTTTAAAACAAGAAAAATAATAAACAACGCTTTCGCACACTAGGTTTATTTCCTCCCCTCTCCTCCCTTCCACTTCTTCTTCAACTCCCTCCCTTTCTGGCCTCCTCTTCCTCTCCTCTCTGCCTCCGTCATTCCTCTCAAGCGTTTTCTGGAGAGACTGAATTATTCAAGCGATGAGAGAGAGAGAGAGAGAGATCTTAACTCAAAATATTCTGCAGCCCTCGTCTTCAGAGATATAGTATCTTGGTAGCCTTTTTTGGGCCATTCACACAGGCACAGTGACGTCAAATCACATTTGGAGGAGATTCTCCACTAGAGTTTAACTGAGGTATTTTTATAAATGTCGGGACAAACATTTGCCAATTTACAGCTGCACATCAAATATTAAAGAGTCAGCAAGACATATTGTGGTAGCACATATACAAAGCTAAAAAAGAGAGCATTAGCCGATGGTCATCATGTACTACATTTGAAATGCCCTATAATACCAAAAGCCCTAATTTAAGACTGATCGATTCCTAATTTTCAAGTAACTGGCTTTTTCTCCATGTATAGCCAACTCATTGTTTCTGCATCAATGTTTGAAAGAAAATATTTGTTATGTTTTTATCATACTCAACATATTTGATACCCCACAGAATATACATTTGATTTGCTCCACTTCAAACAGATACAGTGGTAAAATATGACATACACATTACAGTATTATTATGAATAGTCCAATAAAAATGCTATACAATAGAAAACACTGACCTGGACACATACTTACTGAATGCAGGACTTTTTACATTGTTATACCAAAACGTTTGGATTAGTACATCCTTGTTCCACCACTGAACATTTGCTCTCCAGGTTGTATAATATGTATAGTTATAATATATAGATTTCTGGATCTTTAAAAAAGGAGACTGTGGGAAACTGTAACATGTGGATACAATTAGTTTATCGCAAAAGATATAAACAACAATAAGGTATTCAATTCCTCTTATACTTACTATCATACTAACCTGTCAACGTTTTTATTTCCTGTTACATACTTCTCAGGTAATGTAAATTATATAAAACATAACTCCATGTACTGCTGGGGAAGTACCGGCTAGTTTTTGGAGACTATTGGGCACGTAGCTCCAGTGCCAATTTTGATTCTGGCATTTTAGGTGTGGGTATCTTGTCTGCATGATAATGCCAGTGAGACAGCGCTGCCCTGAGCCCAGCGGCTGTCAGTTTGTCAGCGCTGAGCTCTGGATGTGTGCTCCCTGCGGTGCTCGGTCCACCTTGACTGTCTCTCCCCCTCTGCGTCTCTGGGCTCCTCTCGGTGTGTCTTTTCTCTCGATTTCAAAAACCTTAGTGCTTCTAGTGTATTCCCATGTATCAACACACACACAGCACATATTTAAGGTATTTCTAAAAGGCAATCTCTACTTCAATTTCAACTTTATTGCAATCTTCCAGTTTGTGTGGACAGAGAGATCGAAATGCCGTTTCCCACAATCCCGAATATAAAAACAAAATGTATATAAAAATATGTGTGCAAATATGTATGTATGTATATATATATATACACAGTCAAAGACACATTTTTACATGTGCACACATTAAGACGGGACCTAAATAAAAACAAAACAATCAATATATACAAAATATATATATAGAAATTGTATTCATTGGGATAAACCCCTTGAGATGCACCATCTCGTTTTCAAGGGGGTCCCGAAAATAACAGTAACACTCACTACTTAAAAGGGTTTCTACTCAGTCATGTTCTTGTTATAACCTGAAAAAGTCACTGATCAGTTGTTAAATGCAGAGTCTTTGTGGCCTGTTATGCACCACTAATTCCATCTGTTAAGATCTAGTTGAAAGTGATGAAAAAGAAAATGGCATGAAGGGGGTTTGAGATAGATGGAAAGTCCGCATGGCTCCTGTCGGCCATATGGTAAATCCATCTGCCCTTCTTCCGCCAAGGCAGAAAAGTTATGCAGGACATTAGCTAAGTGTGTCCTGAACAGGCTGCTCTCGTCACCTCATGCAGCTGAACTAGTTTTAAAGTGTCGTACGGTGTTATGTAAATGATGAGCTTGTAACAAGAAGACCTAAGTTGTGAGCATCACAGAGCGCCACAATTAAAGGATGTGATGCAGGCCCTATGTGAAGGATTAATCCTGCACTTCTTGAGTGTGTGAGTGTCCGTGTGAGTGTTCGTGTGATGCTGACTTGCATATATGCAGAAAACACCATATGTTTAGCCCTCTTGTTTTTTTGGACACCTTTCCAAACCCACCTGCGCCTCAGCGTGCAGCGTCCCAGCAGCTCTTGACTATTCGCTTCAGGAAGTCATAATGCAAAGTATATGCTTTTGTTTTTCTTCTGTTGACGGTGCAGTAACCATGGTACACAATGAAGGCTAAAGAACAGGGACACAGCAGTATTTTGATAATCATTCCTTATGTCATTTATCAAGGAAAAACACTAACCGCTTGTTCCAAATCTAAGCAGGATTTTGCTTGTGTAGTGTTCACACTGGACATGTTGTTAATGTGCTGTTGATTGACACTTCTCTCCCACAATGCAATTTGCAAAGGGAATGGAGTAGTTGCTCCTAAAAAGTACTTTTCAATACATTTGGGATGGTGGTGAAACAGCTCCAGAATGATCTTAAAAAAACATTTAGTCTGTATTTGTGACGTTTACTTGCAGTCTTTGTTTATTTGGTGCCCAAAACAATATTTTATGATGGTTACGATAGAAGGTAGATAATTAGTATGTAGCGGATCTATGAGGCTACTGAGAGGCTACAGCAATACTTTGTGTCAAATGCTAACGTTAGCATGCTTACACACTAACAATGGACAATGCTAAAATGCTGATGTTAAGCAGGTTTAATGTACACCACCTTAGTCTGGTCTTCTATCATGCTTACTTTTTTAAATCCGCAATAAACAAAATACATTTAAGGCTTGTATGTACATGGATTAGACCAAAATGGAATTTCAACCTGACGGGTGTTCCCAAAATTATTACAATCTTGGAGCACAATAAATGCTTGTCCATAATCTTTTTTTCTGCTTGAAAACTGCTCCTCAAATGGGGAACTTTGCAGCTTTTTCTCTGTTAAATCACATTACATTTAATACCCTTTAATTTTGGGCGGTCATTCCTGCATTTCTGTAAAATATCCCAAATCAGGGAGGATAAATAGGGAATAGGAGATGGGGGAGGGTGAAGTCAGGGGTGTGTCGATGGGGGTGGTTGCAGGTTGGGGGGTTGTATTAGGTGCCAAGAGGAGGATTTTGAATATTAGCTCAAGCTGGGAATGAAGCTCAGTGTGAGTTGAAGCTGATGGGATTAAATACAAATGGGGTCTCCCTGTGGCCTGAAGCCAACTTCCTGTTACTAAACCTGGACCAGTTCATTCACACATGCAGACTGAGAGCAGAAATGAAAGCATGTTACCCATCCCTGCTTTATATTCATGAGCCTGTAGTCTGAGGTACCATCTCCCCTGGCAACCCAGGCTCCGCCCCGTCTCTTTGTAGCAGGACATATGAAAGCCATCTGTGTTTAGTCCTTTAATCTCCATCAATACACACTCCCTGCAGAGTCTATATGCTGTGCGTATGTTTTTTAACTGAGATGGAAGTGATCATCTGGGGAGTAAAGAAAACACTTGCTTTATTTCAACAGTTTATTCAGAAATAACTGCTCCGATCATAATGTGTGTATGTGCTACAACAAATACAATACACTTGTGTTAATTATGGTTTTATTAATCATCAACCACTGAAGCCTCAGCTAACATGAAAGAATCACATCAACAAGAGTTGGATCCAATTATAAGTGCTGCAGGTTAGTCTGCAGATGCTCCATCCACCAGGACTACATCAAAGATAAATCAAAACACTGGAGCTTTAAAGCTTCATTTAAGAAAAAAGATCACTTTTTCTAATTGCCTCTGCTCTGGGTAAATATTAAAGTTATCCTAAGGTCCAGAGAGAAACCAGAGAGGAAATAATAGTTCAGGCTAACTCAATGAGGTTATTTTCTCAGAGTTGCTTTAACAGTGCTGTATTTGTTAAAGGTGCAATGACCAAGAGTTCAGCGTTTCACCACATTTCAGCCACGTAGGCTAAAATAAAATCTGGACAGGCAAAGCTGTATTGTTGTTGCATTGCCATCTATTAAATTGCAATGTGTAATTGCAAGTGATTAGTCAAGCAATTTAACATTTATAACCAATGTATCATTAAAGCAATGTACCAGTGTCATCCTGTTCCAGCTTTTCCAACATAAAGTATGCAGCTTTTCTCAGTTTTCATTTCACATTTCATATATTTGGGTTTTGCTGGTTGGTGTGACAGTACAAATATTTAGAATGACTCACTGTTTGCTTCAGGGCAATTGTTATTATTTGTATTTAATATGAATGTATGTAAGAGTACTAGAAAGTTAAATGTAAACTAAGTAAACATGGCCTTGGCTCACTGGTACAGTACAGACTGGCTTATGAACAACTTTAACATCAAGTCATCATGAGGGGATTACAAAGGAAGTATTGCATTATGGGGAAACCAGAACCCCACAAGCCATTGATTTCCTCAAACAATTGATCAATTAAACTGTGAATGTGGAGACAACCAGCAGATAAGAGCCGTGTCCTTGCCAGTTTGTAATTCAGTCTGACTGAAATGTTGCTCAGATGGAGAAATTACTTTACAATAACTCTCTGTATGAATGAGATTAGTTATTGATTGTGAGTATATTTTTATTGCAATTATGCGTATTACGTCATCCTTTATAGCAGTTAGTACTTTTTTTCTTTTTACTCCAGCAAATAAACCGGCATACATTAATGTTCTTATAAATACAAACGTGTTGAGAAACATTTGACCTCAACATTGAAGGATAACATCTTGAACTGTAAAACTCGAAATGTCTCGTAGAGCTAATGCAAATCATGGAAAAAAGGTTTATGTAAACTCTATTTAAAATCATCTTAATCACGAGTACCACCACCAATGAACAACACTACACTTCCAGCTTAGTTGGCAAACGTTTGAATCATCGGCGGACATGTTGGGTGCAGACGAACATCGCTCTCCTTCTGTTAACATCTTTAACATTACAGTTCAAATGTAATTCCACATTTGTCCATCAAATGTTACTTTGCTAAGACATTTCTTAGTGTCATGTTTTTTATTATATATGAGCACTTCGGAAAAGTATGTTACAATAAATGATTAGGTAATATGTTAGAAAAATACTTAAGGCTAAAACAAAGAAAGGTGAACAAAGGCAATGTAAACTGGCACAGTATTCACACAATTAGTGCATAAGAAACTTCAACAGCTGCTCTTCACAGGGCAATGGGTCCATGTCAACAATTCCTGTTACACAAAAGATACAAACAGCTGAGTTAGTTAGTAGTTGTTCCTTCAGGACCACAGGATTTAAAGTTATGTTCAGTAGTGATAACAGACTGTTTTTATACTGTAAGCTTTACATAGGCAAAAGTGACAAGTCATTTCAGTATCAATATAATGTGTCCAACATAAACAAATGTAACAGAAAAATATATTTATGCTATAAGCTATCGCTTCATTTATGGCAGCCTTAATCAGGGCTTCTTAAATCTAAAAAGACAGTTTGGGAATTTATATTCAACCACAAACTAAATGCTAGTAACTACTAAGTAAGTTGGTCCTTTGGCCACTTAAGCAAGTTAAGAGTAAAAACAGTGGAAGGCTAGTTGGTTGAGGTGTCTTTCTGTATCATCCAGTGTTGCTTGCACTAGTGATTTAGTGATCTCTGTTTGTAGGAAATTCCTAGCCATCATATTAACCCCAGGGTTCTTTTGACTGGGTTTCGTCTTCCACTGCATTATCAGCAAATGACAGACCTGAGTGTATCACTCTAGGGCTGCAAATGGCTCCGTATTATTCATTTCCACCCATCATGCTCTATTAGTTTAATCAGTGGTGAACTTCATTGAATTTCTTCGGCAGGAGTCTGACATCTCTAGCCTCTCTCCTCTTACTGTCACTGTGTCAGCACGGGAATGTCGATCTCTATGGCAGACATCCGTGAGCGGGAGGAGTATCGCTGACCTGCGTAGGTGGATGCGTAGCCCTGAGATGGTGCGTAGCCCTGAGATGGTGCGTAGCCCTGAGATGGTGCGTAGCCCTGAGATGGTGCGTAGCCCTGAGATGGTGCGTAGCTCTGAGATGGTGCGTAGCCCTGAGAGGGAGCATAACTCTGTGAGGGAGCGTAGCTGTAGGCCTGGTTGCCTCCTACCTCTGAGCCATAACCATCAGGAACAGACATCTGAGACATGTGCACCTGTGGCGGTACAGGGGCCACCACACTCTGGGCGTAGCCCTGGGAGGTCACATATGGCTGGGAGTCGATCACTGTGGGAGGATAGGCCTGGGGAGGGAAGGGCTGAGGGCCATACACTGGGGAGGGAGGATATCCGTTGGCAGTGAGAGGCTGGGTGGACAGAGAGGTAGGCATAGAGGGCAGAGGCAACCAGAAGGGTGAAGGCAACTTTTTACACATACAGTACCACATGAACATTAGCAGGGCGGCCAGCATTAGTCCTCCAGAGCAGCCTATAGACACATACACAGCAAAGCCATCGGAAAAAATGTTGTCATATTTAATGTTCATTTCCTTGGTCCGAAAAAGGAACCATACTGAGGGTGCGATGGCAATAGCTCCACCTAAGAACAAAAACGTCCCGGCCACCAGGTGACAGCCTGCATTGTTGACCAGGAATCTGATGGTCTTAATGTCTGGTTCAGGCTTGTCTGAGCAGCAGCAGGTCTTAAACATTCCTGCCATGCACAGCAGCAAGGCCAGAGAGCCAAACATCATGCCCGTAGGAAGACAGAACTGCAGAAGCCGGAGATCCAGCTGGTCCACTTTAGAGTACCACTGGAAAAATTGGGAAGACAAGACATTTGTTAGGACAATTGAGGACAGAAAAATATAAAAACAAGAAAAACAGGAGAGCCCAATTCTCAAAGTAATACCTCTGAATCATAGTAGTAGCATCCAGAATAGCCATCCTGTTTCACACATTTAGCCCACAGCCCATCATACACACTGATATTCTTGGCATTACGATTGAAGGTGACGAGTCTTGTTACACGCCACTGTGGGATTAATGCTGCCACAGCAAGCCCTCCCACACAAACAAAGGCAAGGATGAAGGCAAAAGCGTTGGTGGCGTGGATATCCCGGCACGACATGGTGGTGCTGACAGGAACTGAGGCCACGAGGAGGGTTCCTGTTGGAACAAATAAAGAGAGGATGTCAGAAAGAAGTGGCTGGTCACTGCAGTGGAAATCAACTGGGCCACAATGTGACTAAAGTAAACCTATTTTCTGGACAAAGAAAAATACATGGTTATACAAGTTATTCCGAATGGCCCCATTACTATTGAAAAAAGTAAACTGTGCCACAGACTGACCTAGCTATGGGCAACCCCCCTGTACTTCTATTCACCACAGTGTAGTTGACCCAATAAATGCTGTCCCCGAGAAACAATGCTCTCATTTCATTAGCAAACAAAGTAAGACTGACTTGGGAGCTGAGCTTGCAGGGCGAGAGTGTCTATACTGCAGTGCATTACATAAACTGTACAGACAGACAATGAGCGACTGAATTAGAAGTGTCTTTCTGTAGCAGCATGCAACACTGACTGATCATGACTGTGTGGAAACTTATATTTAGAAACTATCTTATGCCTTAATATAATACAAACAACTAAATCAGATCACAGATTTGCCTCTTTCAGAGGTAACTAGTTTGTCACGAAGTTGTCTGAAAATGTACTTATTTTATGAATTGTTAGGCCAACACATAGTTAAGTGAAGCCTCAGGCAATGTTTTTCAAGCTATTTTATATTTAGCTTTACAGTCTGCAGCATCCTTTAATGATTATCAAACTGTATCTGTAACATTTTAATATATCTTTAAATTAAAAAAGCCTATTGTCACATGTTTGTTCTGTTCAGATGTGCTATGTTGTTATTATATTCTTTATAATTATGATATCGTTTTTTTACTGTTTTCACAGAACACGTGAATTACACACTATGTGCTTTTTATAAACAATGCAGTCATCATTACAACAAGTGGAATCAGCAGTGGTCGATGATGACTGCATCATCATTAACACCTGTTATATTGCATTATAATTTTGTGATTACCGTTACACATTAACTAACTAATACCTGGTGTTTAAGAAGCCATGATCACATGAAGCCTGCCAGATGACGCCTGTCTGAGTAGCTTCAACAGCTAGCTTAGCCACATTTAGGCAGGCTATTTAGCCCGTTGACTGAGGCTAACTGGAAAACACAATTTTATCCTGATCAAAAGCCTCATACATCAACTGTGTTCATTAAACTGTCAAAAACGTTAAATAATGAATAATACATATGTTTGAATTGGCTGGCTTACCAGCATTTAACCCTGAAGCTAGTTTGTTAAATTAGCTAATTAGCAAGATGATGGCTAATAAGTTAGCATTACAACAACCTGTTGCGTCTCGAATTCCTCACTGTGAAACTCAGACATGGCTACTACATAAACTACATAAACATAGACCACCATACCTTGTATTTCCAGCAGTGAGGTCGTACTTAGATCGAAGGCAGTCTCATTTCAGCCTGGTCCTCCTCTGACTTTATACAATCAGAACAACCCAGAGTTCTTTTCACTGAAGTACAGTTAAGACGAACGTAAACAGGATGTGGGTGTGTCTGCCCTCAGTGTTGTCTCACAGGGGTTTGACGCATGCGCGCAGAGTATTAAAATCACAGGGATCATAAAATAGACATGGAAAATTAGAAGTTCAGACAAAGCAAAAATAGCACGCTTGAGGATACATTCAATTTGAAAACAAATGTAACTTAGTAAAACAGATGCCTGAAATTAAACATTTTAATGCACAGAGCCACACATTGACAGAGCACAGACAATACAATTGAAGACGTAAAAATGAAAAACATTAAAACCTAAGTGTACAATAAAGAGAATATTTATTATATAGGTTAGCTTAAGCCACATTAGAATAATCTTTTAAAACACTTATGTGGTTCAGTCTTGTGAGATAGGAAGGGTTGGCCATATTTTATAGGATACATACATTTTTTTATGATCCTGAGTGAGTAAGTTATCCGTAACCTTTGAGACTTTTGACTTACATATATTCTTTTGACGAGTGCCTGTAGGATTTCTGTAGGCTTGATGGATTGACTATGTGCAAGATTTCAATTTGAGAAGTTGCCGGTCCCTCTATACTTTTCTTTTTTATAGCATGATTATAGTAGGTGTGTCTGTCCAAATAATTAACAACCCTGAGTTTGACAGGTGTACTTTATTGTGTGAGCTACAAACTCAGATATTGGCCTGTGAACTGATGAACTTCATTAAACTCAGATTTTTCTGTCTTTCAGGGAGATGTCCGCATTCACATGATATATAAATCTGCAGGGCATGAAGGATTTAATGATCTCTTCAATGGTAAGATAATAAATTAAGTAATGGAAAGAATTTGATTCATAGTTTCATTAAAAAAATACATTTTCATTTAATTGAATGTTTCTGTTTACTAGGTGATTTTCCAGAGCCGCCTTTTCCCAGCCCCCCATTTCCCGGGTCAAAAGTTGTTCACAGGAGAAAAAAGAGACAGGTACGTCTCCTCTGCAGCCATATTTACTGGAAAATTGTCATCATAGCAGATGGGTGCTAATGAGTGACGTCACTTTATGGTGTGCATATGTGAAATGCTCTGAATGCTGTTTGCCCTGATCATCAAACTGTTTCCTCGCCCGGTATGTTTTATGTAAATTCACAAAGCTAAAACGAGAGCGCTGTTTCCTCATCTCCTCCTACACGACAGCTCTCCACCCTTTCTTCTTTTTCTCCTTCTTTTTCTTGGTCTTCTTCTTCTTCTTCGCTTTTGCCTTCGTCTTCTTCTTCCTCATGAAATATTTACCTTGCAAGTAGAGGCTGCTTGCTCATCTTTTCTCAGGCATAGATGCCTGCAGCTGTTGGTCTCTCAGCACTCAGAGCTGCTCTCATCTTTATTTGGGTATTTGAAAGACAGACAAACCTGGTTTAGCATTGCAAAGTTCACCTGTTATAAATTACTTTTTTCTTTTCTTGGTGACGCATGAGACAAAAGCTGATCTTTGTGTTTACCGTGTGTGATGTTTAAAAGTCGTGTGGAGGAAAATGGAGAAAACCATGTCTCTCTTTCTGTGTTTATAACTAAAGTAGCAAACTGTGTTTTTCCTCTTAGGCTCCAAGTGTGTCTCACAGTGTAGAAGATGAGACCAAATACGTTGAGTTGATGGTGATCAATGACCATTTAATGGTAAGCAAATATGTTATGGATGTACAATTCTAATTGACTGTAAACTGTGAAATGATTAGTTATAAATAGCTCCAAATGCTACCTTAAATTGTGCAAAAAACATCTAAATGCCAAATCCACCGGGTCTGACGTTTTTTACAAACAAAAGGTGATATTTGGAGAAAACCGAATCTGCAAACACTGGCTCCTTTTACACATTAAAATGAATTTGTTCCACATTATGAATCCAACATTTCTTCATTGTCTCTTTCCCTCTCTCTGTCTCTCTCTTCAGTACAAGAAGCATCGGCTTTCTGTTGGGCTCACGAATAACTATGCTAAGTCAGTGGTCAATATGGCTGACATGGTAAGAATTGTATTGATCTTTTTCCTGAAAGCTTGCCACAAGCACTCCCAGGTATTAGAGCTGAGCGCACATTGCACTGATTTCTCATTTAACCAACCTCACTCCCTACATTTAAAACCTCTCCTGGTCCATAATATGCTGCGTGCGGCCATTAACCAGCCAGTCATGAGTTTCCAGAGGCCTGAAACAGCAGTGGCATCCCATCAGTACTGAGGCAGATATTTATATGTTTCATTATTCGTAGCCACATCTGTTTGCTGTGCTGCTGAAATCTGACCTGCCACAGGGTCATGTCTGAAAGCTGATAGGCTCAGGAAAGGTCACGCTTTTGGTCGTGCCCTTGAAGAGGATCATATGAAGCCGACTCTATTTGGGACATATACATTGATTTCCATGTCCATGTTGCCTTTTATCCCCAGTGTATGATGTGATATATATTACAGCAATTACTTGTAAGACAGAGCTTGTATAAATATACAATGAATGAATCAAAGTAAAATCTTTATAGATGTTATTCAGTAAAACAAGTACTTAGCTTAGTCCTGGAAAAGGAGATGTCACCGTTATGGCCTCTTTCACCAACCAATGTCTACTACAGAGGGTCACTGTAGAGTAAACCGTAGTGTAAGAAAGGAGTATCTATAAATGAAAGTGCATGATTGAAATAACTTTTACAAAGCAGCAAAAAGTACGAGATATTTCTCCATTATTTGCAGACTAGCGGGTTAAGGTTGTTTCTAGCTCCAGTTTTTTATGTATTAACTCAACTTTTGAGTCACAGAGCTGAGCATCCGGTTTACTGATATATAAATACTGGCGATCTTTGGAAAAACCCAGAAAATAGTTTAACAATAATTACCTAAATCTATTTCCTGAATCATATATCCTTGCTTGATTCGTAAACTACAAGATAATGCAAGATTTCTGGACATAAGGCCAATCAGCAAAACGGCTTCAACACTGGGTTTTCTTTTTAAAGATCACCGGTTATTTATTTTCTCACCTGTATTGAAGCAGACTATACTATATGGCGAAGATGAGACTAAATGTGTACATACTGAAGTGGAGCTGCTAGGTGAAGTTCTTTATGCTGGATTGTGATATAACCACGCAAACATCATATATTTCTGATACTTCCTCTGCTCTGTTTTGAGGCGTTCAGCTTAAACAAAGAGGCTTTGCTCTTGTCCTCTTCTCTTCTAGTGTTTGTCTGGCCCCAGTACCCCAATAGATTCCCATCTTATGAGAGCAAACATTATTATTTGCCGGTCCTTCAGACTATGCCCCGTATTGACTGCGTCTAGCTGCCTGTAGTGTGCTGCTGTCTGGTGGCAGGATCAGACTGATCTCACTGACTGGCTGTAACAACAGACAGCTGGGATGTTGATGAATATGAAGTCAGTTTTAATATCAATCAGTCATTTCTGTCTTTGCACTTTTAGTTTATAACGATAACTGTCACTGACATTAAATGTTATACTTTTAATTCCCCAGATTTTCAAGGAACAGCTCAATACCCGGATTGTGCTGGTTGCCATGGAAACGTGGTCAGCTGACAACAAATTCAACATCGATGTCGACTCGATGGTGACGCTGAAGGAGTTTATGAAGTATCGAAAAGACTTCATCAAGGAGAAATGCGACTCTGTTCACCTCTTCTCGTAAGTCGAAACATCTCAGAAATATGTTCTGGTGCTCTCGGGATATTTTCTTAAATGGATATTTGTATTAAACACATCTCTTTTCTCATCAGAGGGAATCGTTTCCATAGCAACTGGGGGGGAGCTTCCTACATGGGAGGCGTTTGCTCCCTCACTAAAGGAGGGGGGGTCAATGAGGTGAGTCTGGAACAGATTTCCAAAATCTCTTAATTCAATTCACTTTTGATTAGATAGAGGATTTAAACCATAATCTTTTCACTGAACACCTCCAGCATGCTCTCTCTTCTTTTATACAGTAAATGTGAATAATGTACATTTATTTCTGTTGTATACTGCAGTTTTATTTTACATGAGGGGAATTTGTAGCTATCTCTTTTTACTGTTAAAAGGAATGATCCTTCTTACTAATTATTCTCATTTTCATTACAAATATTTACATTTTTATAGTGGGGTTGTATTTTTGGAGCATCTATGGATATCTTTGTTGCACAAAATATTTTGTTTTAAATACATTTTTGAAACATGTTTAGCCTATAACTAATATTGTTTCTCCTGTGATTTTAAATGTGCAGTCCGCCATATTGTGATTGTTATAACATTTTGAATAGTTGTTCGGACCTTTCTTATCACTTATTCTGTTTATTTTCTGCCTCGCTCTCTGTCTGTCTCTCTTTCTGTCTGCCTCTCTTCATCAGTATGGGAAAGCAGATGAGATGTCCATAACCCTCGCCCAGTCACTTGGACAGAACATCGGCATCTTCTCTGACAAGAAGAGGATCCTCAATGGTACAAAGTTAAATCTTAATGAGTCTTTTAATTATTACTTTTCCAGCACGCATCCTTTTTTTCAAGATTCCTTTCCAAGCAATACAAATATGTCGCGTGTTTCTTATTCTAGGAGAGTGCAAGTGTGATGATCGTTGGACGGGCTGTATCATGGATGATGTTGGGTAAGTTACTTTTACAGAACATTTGTGGTTTTAAAGTCATGACTTTAAAACCACAACAGAGAAAGAGTTTGTGTTTGCCCAACAAACGATATGACGGAAAAGCAACTGGCATACAGTTCGTCCATTTAGATTTAGATACATTTTGTTTGGATACAATGCATTTTGGTTTAATGCTAACATCACACTTAACAAAAAAAATGATTTCACATTTATTTACTAAATTCATTTCTTTTTTCAATGGACGGCTATTGTCACCAAAGTGTCACATGAAATTTGTCCTAAAGCTTGTAAATAATGTGCGGTCAAAACTCAAATTAATTGTGGACATTTTATGTTTCCAATTTGAATTGCATTTCATTTTGTTATAGTTGAAAGGGATTATGTAAACCAATTAGATTTATTGTATCACAGTTAGCGTAAAGCCACTCTGCAAAAAAGTTTATAGACAATAACATAGATGTCTTAATCTTCATCAAAATATAACATTGTTGGCAGGGTGAACATGCTGATATCAATATTTCCATCCCCTAAAGTGTTATTGTAGTTTGATAATTCACCACTAGGTGTCAGCCTATGTGTATCACCCTTTATATATATACAGTCTATGGTATCACCCTTATGACTTGTTTATATAACTTCATGGGGCTTCTTTCAGCAGTAATGTGTTTTGTAATCGGTTGCTTGCTAGGATTAGAAATCAGATGATAAATCAGTGTATTTCTTTCTTGCATTAATCATGAATTTGTGTACATCTGTCATGTTTATACTAACATGTTGCTGTGAGCATTCTGATGTGTGTGTGTGTGTGTGTAAAAGCCTAAGCATTGTGTGTATGTGTATATATACCCCTCTTCTTAAATACTTCTTGCGTTCCCCCTCTATCCCGAATGGGACAGCAGGTGAGCAGAAGCTTGGCTAAAACGTTGCCTGTGCTGTGCCTCGGAGGGGTTGTCCGTCATCACAACCTTTCCCATCTCATCCAACAGCGCTGCAGCCTCTGTGGCCCCAGCTTCTCTTTCTTTATTCAAATTACATGAACAAATACAGTCTGATGACCTTTGATTATACTCTGACTGTATTTTTCATACTAATTTTGTACAATTTTACATGTAATTTATGTGTATTCCGCCAAGATTATTTTCTATTAATTATTGAGAGGCACTTCCTCCCTCCTGCCCTTTGAAAGTCAGGACTTCTCATCAGTTCCTTTTGTCCATGTCTAACCGATTGATACAGTCTGCAATGTCATTCTCATCTTAGGCCAATATTTTACTACCTCATTTCCCTGAAACGACAGTGCACTCCCCTAACACTCCCTGTCCATGTTCTGCTAGATTGGGTTGCAATAATAAACCTACTGTAATGTCTTGACAGAGGACAGGGGGCTCTGAGCTCCTGTCAGCCAAACACCTGTGAGTGGACCTGGCCCAGATAATCTAAGTCAATGGTATTTCAGACGTTTGTATTCAATGACCTCAGTCATGTCCATTGACGGACCTTTCTTTCTATCCCTCAGCACCTGCATGTCTGATCAACTTAACTTACTACTACTAACTGTTCTCACATTTCTCACAGGGTTTAGCTTCTGTGTGTGTGTGTGTGTGTGTGTGTGTGTGTGTGTGTGTGTGTGTGTGTGTGTGTGTGTGTGTCTGTGTGTGTGTGTGTGTGTGTGTGTGTGTGTGTGTGTGTGTGTGTGTGTGTGTGTGTGTGTCGACATGCATAACGGTCAAGTGAGGATTTCAAATAGTTTCTATATATTGTTTTTTTTCTGTTTGTTTACTTTCTCTTATCTTCTTGTGACAAAATAGATTTTGCCATGAAAAAAAAGAAGGAATTATTGAGGAAGTCACTTAGAAGAAGGATAGAGGATGTTAGTGAATCCTTTTCTGGATATGTGCAAATAATACAATAGAAACTGTGTTTTAATCTCCTATATCCTTATTTATTCATATCTTCATACTTTCCTATAAGGTGTGAAATGAAAAATATGAATAATAATATTAGTCCACAAGCTAACATTTATATTTCTCCTGGTGTATCATTGATCAGTGAATCATTCCAGCATGTTCTTCATTTCACTCATTATTACTGTTTAAAGCGGATCAACACTACAAGGTTTTGACCAGAAAACGCACTAACGCACATTTCTAAATCAAAGATGTAAATCTCTGTTATAGTTGGGACAACTTAAAACCGTATCAGTTGATTGAATCAACCTGAAATATTGTAGTGTGCTTCATCTGTCATCAAGTTGTCATTACTGGTTTTTAATACAACCATAATCACTGCCGGTGGCTTCATTTAGCCCCATCTCAGATCAAACAATGACGACCTCTCTCTGAGTCTGTCTGTTATTGCAATGTCTCCTGATGAGCCACACTACCAGAAGCTCTCTAGTTAAACATGTGTCAGCAGCGTAATGAGCTTTAAGTGACCAATGGCGCAGCAGAAGATGACATCTAAGTGCTGCTCAGGTTTGAGTCGATGAATGCAGGACATCTGATTGGAATAGATTTACTTCAGATGTTGATTGTGCTTCAAGTGAGTGTATCATCCAGCAGGATATTATATTTATACTCAAAGTGAATAGAAGCAATCACTCAGAGCATTTCAGAGTTAAGAGCTTGATTTCTCAGAAGACTAGTGAGAATCTATTGAATACTGAGGTGATCATTTCAGTGTCACATGATAATGCAATAACTGATTTTGTGAATCATCGACCACATTCATCATGCAGGACAAGTTCATATAAATGCAACTTAGACCTTATTCACATCCTACATATATCTCCATATGAACTTCACAATCTTAGCTCTACTGTATAAATACCTCCATGTTGTAGTAAGGATCTTCTCTAAACTGTGAGTATGGTCAACACGGGTAAATCCTGAAATATTTATGGTACAGTGTAAGAAACACAAACTTGATTAAATATGACACTGTCTATTGCACTGACATTAAATGTGCGGTATTAAATGTCAAAACAATATATTTTCTAAGTGTTTTGTCCTGTCATTTGTTTGTGGGGAACAAGCCCCCCTCTCTCCCGGTATTATGTAAAGATGCAGTCTGTAGTGTTTCCACGGTAACTGCATAATGTGCTGCGGTTGTGTTGAACAGATTCTACCTGCCCAAGAGGTTCTCCGACTGCAACGTGGAGGAGTACTATAACTTTCTGAACAGCGGTGGAGGAGCCTGCCTGTTCAACAAACCTCTGAAGGTACGTCACACTCACACATTCACTCATAAACATACATGTGTCTTCTTAGCAGTGTTAGAATGATAGAACTAAGTACTGTAATTAAGTATAATTTTAAGTTTTACTTACTAAGTATTTCCATTTAATGTTACTTTACATCCACTACGCCTCAGAGGACATTTTATTGTTTTACTGCACATGTATTTGCTAACTTTAGTTGCACCATGAAGATTCAGATTATCAATACAAAACATAATAAACAAATAATGTATTATATGTTATTATACATTCATTATATAAATTGTGTAGACCCCTTAGTGAAATTCACAAACTACACTCCTCTTTATTCAGCTGCAACATTCAAGTGATGAACACATACTACTTAATTTGTATCTAATAATAATACAAAATATATTCTATATCTGAAATAGGTAAATGCAGAATGAGTCTTTTTACCTTTGGGACTATACTGTTGGGTTGTGCTTTTGTACTTTAGTTAAGTTTGACTGCTGGATATAACTTGTAAAAGAGTACTTCTGCACCAAGTGAAATATCTGAGTACTATGTACACCTCTGCTTCTTATCATTTTAAATACAAATGATACTTTCCCTCCTCAGCTGCTGGACCCTCCTATTTGTGGAAATGGCTTTGTGGAGCCGGGAGAGGAGTGTGACTGTGGCAGCCCGGTGGTAAGTTAAATCACTGAAGACTCTCTCATGCTAATAAAGAGATGTAGTACCCTAAAGGGATAGCTTGATAATCATCATAATTGACAGTAGTTTGCTTATTAACCAACAACAAAACCTGCTGTGTCACACTAATAAGAGGTCATTTAAAGCAATGAAATAAAGTCATATGCATGCACTGCATACACAGTGATAATACCAGAGTATGTCCAGAGAGATGTCTGTTTAAATGATTTAGAGGTCATTATGTGTTACATGAAATAACTCAAGTCTAATGACGACAACTAAGATCAGTTTCTGTTTGTGTGCTTGTCTTTTAGGAGTGTGCCATAGAGGGGGAGGCCTGCTGTGACAAGTGCACCCTGACCCAAGGCTCCAAGTGCAGCAACGGACTCTGCTGCAACAGCTGCCAGGTACAGTGCAGGACACACCTTCACTCTCTACTGGATTGTATTTGGTTAAACAGAGAAGACTATTCATACCACCCCTAAGGATTATGCCTTTTTATGTCTTTAAATCCAATTCCACATGGATTTACTTTCATTTTGAACATCTCTGTTTTAAACATGGCTAACAAAGAACACATCCTTACAGTTACAGTAGAGATGGTAAAATATGTTGAGTCCAGGCTGTCTGCTAAATAATATTTGTTAATTGCTACACAGCATTGTCAAAGTTGGACTAATGGTACTTTGGGATGTCAAGAGGAAAGAGAGAGTTGGTGCAGATGGTTGACATTTCCTGATTGAGCTCCTCTGACACAAAGCCCAATTACAAACACTCACATTCTGTGTGACCTTCATTGTGTGCTGCTGCAGATGGAGTTTGCGGGAGTCGTGTGCAGAGATGCAGTGAACGACTGTGACATCCCAGAAAACTGCACAGGCAACTCCAGCCAGGTGAGCCTCCCTCGCAGTTTCCTGCAGCTGCAGCTATAAACCTCATCTTCAGAAAATCACAGGATGTGCAAGACTCCTACAGTCAATCACATTGTTCTTTGCTCTCTTCCAGTGTCCAGCTAATGTGCACAAGATGGATGGCTACACGTGTGAAAAGGACCAGGTGAGATATTCAGATACCTTACTTTTAAGAAGTCTTTACTTCTGCACAGGTGATTTTTGCTGCATCTATATGGCTTGAGGATACAGCTAAACATTTGTTTGATTGTTATAGTATGGGTACATTCACTAAATGTAAACTGTGACTCAAGGTTTGACACTATATTTCTCTCTCCAGGGTCGCTGCTTCAATGGAAGATGCAAAACCAAAGACAGACAGTGCAAGTACATCTGGGGAGAGAGTACGTGTGATATTCCTTTATGCACATTTATTTGGTATCGGCAAATCTGCAAAGACCATGTGCATCTCTGTAATAACACCTTTGGTTGAGATAAACTCCTAAAGCCATAGATGTTAATGCTCACTGTGTGTGTCTCCCCCAGAAGCAACAGCGGCCGATAAGTTCTGTTACGAGAAGCTGAACATCGAGGGGACAGAGAAGGGAAACTGTGGGAAGGACAAGGACACCTGGATCCAGTGTAACAAACAGTGAGCGAGACCTTCTGTGACCGAACCCTGTGCACTTCTGTTAACGTCCTATTTTCACTCTCCATAATGTTTGGCTGCATCTTTGTGTTTCAGGGATGTTCATTGTGGGTATCTGCTGTGCTCCAACATCTCCCCCTCCCCGCGACTTGGAGAGATGCAGGGAGGACTCACCTCCTTCTCAGTGGCCCGGCACAGTGCTTCTCTTGACTGCAGGTACACATCATTGAAATACATCCTGAAATATACAGTCAGTAAGTTTTTCTCTGGAGTAGTTTGGTTCCCTCGTTCTGTATTTCTAGCTGTTAAAACGAGAAGGCACCGCTGAAAGGCTACTTTTACTAGTCAACTAATTTTAAGATTGGAAGGAAATATTTGTACTTTGCTGTGAGTGTTTTATCACGTTAAATGCTTTGTGAGTGACTCATGGTTGTTGTTCAGCGGGGCTCACGTGGTGATCGACGGAGACACTGACCTGGGATACGTCGAGGACGGGACGGCCTGTGGGACCGACCGCATCTGCTTCAATCACAAATGTATCCAGATCCAACAGTTCAACTTCAGCACCTGTCCCGGGTCCACTGACAAGATGGTCTGCTCCGGACACGGGGTAAACACACAAATACTCTTTCAGCCACTCAGCTCAAGCCCCAGAGTGTTGTGTGTAAGTCGGATATGTCGGTTTTTATTTAGCTCCAAATAGTTAATACGGTTATTTAGGTCAGTGTTTCTTTTTTATAAGAATGCAATAGGATCAATTCAACAACAGGTTCTGACATAAAGTTGAGAAACAACCTTTATATAATGTAATGTCTTATTTGCTTGAATGAGCTTGCTAACAATAATGTTACTTAATAAATATACAGGTTACACATTTCAAAGCATCAGCATTACTCCCTGAAACCATAAACTACACTCGGCCTTTTGAATACCATATCAACACATTCGTTATTTATGGGCAGGATGTGGGGCACATTTTTAATTGCACACTTATTTTGGTGTCACAGCACCTTTCTCTGATCAGGTGTATCCTTTTGTTCATGAATATGTTTGCATTATAAGCATACACACTTTGTTACTAATTATTTTATCAAAACATGTCACACAACAGTCTTTCCAAAACATATATCGTGCTAGTCCCTGCTATTTAGCACAACATGTACTGTGGGAGTTCAGAATGCAGGTTTTTGAATATTCTCTGTTACTGTAGGTGTGCAGCAGTGAGCTGAAGTGTGTGTGTAACCTGGGCTGGGCGGGAGAGGACTGTAACTCCACGTCTCCTCTCAGCTATCCCGTGGTCGGACCCACCGCCCCAGATTCTGGTGAGAGATGTTAACCCTCTACACAATTCAATGCCTCTCTCCTAACCTGTTTTCAGCTCACATTATCTGCACCTTTCTGTCATTCTTCTCTACTTTCTACACATCAACTCTTTCTAGCCACCTTTCACTCACTTAAAATCCCATTCACAAATATTAATTTGAAGCTTTTCTTTCTTTTTTTTGTTTTAGCCTCTGTGCTGGGTTTCATGTCTGCATTTGTATTCACTGAACCATGCATGTCATTATTTTTTTTTGTCATTCTTTTCACACTCATTCTTTGTCGACAGGCTGATGTCTTTGACGGAGTGACTTGAGGTCAGATTTGAGTTCCTTTTCATTGTATTTGTCCTGTCTTTGATGTCATTTCCTGGTCCTCTTCCTCTCTCACCCCACCTTCAGCTTCACCTTCGTCCACTAATTCTAACCTTCATTCAGTTAAAAACAAGCAGTTTGTAATGTTGTCCTGAATGGGAACCTACTGTAGGTTCCCCTCAGAGTAGTGCTAAAGTCTGACAGCAGTTTGGTTGTTCTCGGTTTGTCCCCCCTGTTCTCCTTTGACACTTCTCCTGCTAAGTGTACTGTGTTTTTGTGTTCTGCTGCAGTGGTTTGTGGTTCATGTATCCCCTTGTGTCCCCACTATTCAGGAAACAAGAGACACACATCCAATTAACACACCGCCTCCTCCCCACTGCCCTCTCTCCCACTGTCTTAGGTTACACCAGTACCAACATCATCATCGGGGCCATCGCAGGCTCCATCCTCTTCCTCGCCCTCATCCTGGCTGCTACAGCCTGGGGTTACAAGTGAGTCCCTCAGCCTGCACTAGTGATGCTTTATGGATCCCAAACTGTTGATCAGGACCCCAAATAGGCATCACAGGGAGACGGATGGAAATGAGGTCAAAGCTAAATCTGGCACTGTTACACTTGATACAATTGAATGTTTTAAGTGTTCATTACTGTGCATTGTCCCTGCCAAATAAACGATTAAATAAATAAATAAACTTAAACCTTAAGGGCTCCCAATAATCAATAAACAAAGTTAGCAACAATGGACATGGGCAACGGAAATGGCTTTGTATTGAGGGGTCCTGAGTCAATAAGGCTGGGAGAAACTGCTATATACTGTAGTATGCAATTTAACCATTTAGCCAAATATATTCTATTGTTTTTTGACTGAGAATTATCCCTACTCTTCACAGGAGCTACAAGCAGAGACGCTATGAAGAATCTGAAGTTCACCGAAGATTCTGCCGGTTTGCTCATTTAAACTTATTTTTTGAATGTGCTGCATTTGAGTTTAATATACATGACAGTTACAAGTTTTGAGAGCAAGTGTCCTGTAAATAATGTATTTTTTATACACAAAAAAAGCTAATGTTGTTTTTGTTCCCATCAGTGGTTTACATTTGTTGTCTTATGGTTAATACAATTACATGTATATTCATTATACTAATCCAATTGTGGCACATACTACTAGAAACATTTATTATATGGCAAGTTGGAGGATATCAAAAAATACCGCTCAAAGCAAGAACAAACATTATTTTATTTGTATTTGTTGATTATCACAGATTTATAAAAGATAACTACAGTATGAAGGGTGATTACTTCTGGCATTTCATATCTAAAAGCATTCTTCTGTATTTCCAGGCAAATGCCCCCAGGTGACTATGTAACAAAGCCTGGGGATGCAGACTCATTTTACAGTGACATGCCTCCGGGGGTCAGCACTAACTCCGGCTGCAGCTCCAAGAAGAGGTCAGCCTGCCGTCAGATTTGCTCCCTGTCCTTCACTCCCTCCATCCCATCCATTTCTCAGAACATCTCAGTGTTTGGCTTCAGGTGTGCCATCTCATCATCACTCATTCATTTGCTGGCAATGTGTGTGTGTGTTGGGACACTGGTGTGTTTATATCATGCTTTGTTACTATCATGGCTTTCATAATGTGCCTCATTCTGCGCACATTTTGACTTTGAATCCAAATGTTTTCAAAATGATGCACATTTTGCTAATGGAGAGTCAAGCAGAACAAATCTTGCTACTACATTTCTCATATCATGTCAATTTCAGCTGCCATGATATCGTTTCCTAATGTTGCCATCTGCTGCGATGGTGTCTTCATATTCAGCTTGTCCGTCTTCTCCACTAATGCAACCAGAGCAGAAGCGTTACATGATTTGTTGCAGCTTATAAGGACAATGATGATCTGATAATATTCCCCGCTGTGTGTGTGTGTGTGTGTGTGTGTGTGTGTGTGTGTGTGTGTGTGTGTGTGTGTGTGTGTGTGTGTGTGTGTGTGTGTGTGTGTGTGTGTGTGTGTGTGTGTGTGTGTGTGTGTGTGTGTGTGTGTGTGTGTGTGTGTGTGTGTGTGTTGTGTGTGTGTGTGTGTGTGTGTGTGTGTGTGTGTGTAGATCTAATGGCCTATCACACTCGTGGAGCGAGAGAATCCCAGATGCCAAACACATCTCTGACATCTGTGAAAATGGGCGACCGAGAAGCAACTCATGGCAAGGTAACGCACAAATCCCCACATAGTTCATACAGGGAGAGAAAACCCTTACCTCTGCTGCTCTTTTGCACTTTTGATTTGATATTTTGTTCTCAGATTTGTAAATGAACACTTTTAGAAGTGGTCTTTGTATGTAGCAAATGTGAGCAAAAAAATTGCTCTTCATTATGTTATTTATTTGTTGTATTGTGTGTATAGAATGCAGATTTTGTTTATGTCTGTATGAGATGAGTTGGTGGCAAATTCGTTTTTTCCTAAGAAATTGATAAAGTTTACTAATATAAACCAATATGATTACCTAACATCATATGGGGGCCTCAAAAAAAGAAAATGTCTTGATAATTTAAGTACATTTTCTCTACAACTTATTACTTTTGCCCCTCTGTCGCCCATTGCCTGAATTTGTTTTGAGGAAACAAACACATCACAGCCCTTCTCATGGTTCTAATTGTTCTCTCCTACCATAAATATCGCCCCCAGTTAACTATTTTGCATTTAATTGTAGATCATTGTATTTAAAGAGTGTGTTTATGTTTTGTTTCTTTACAGGAAATCTGAGTGGGAATCGTAAGAAACTGAAAGGAAAGAAGTTCCGTGCTCGCTCCAACTCCACAGAGTAAGTCCCGGCATTTTGTGAGGTCATTGAGCATTGTACACAGGATGTACAAAAATGTGAGAGTACTTACAGCCTTGACAAGAATGAAACAGTGTCTGTGTGGCTCATTTAGGTGTATTTAACCGTGAAGGTCTAACAATGACCAGGACAGTATGTTCTATTGACCCCAGTTGTTGCTGTTACCACATTAGGATCAATGTAATAAATGTCATTAGATTTGTTGACAATAAGAACATTTCCTTATCAGTAGGTAAGTTGTATTGTGTCTGCAAAAAGATTACAACTCTTTATGCTTCCCTTCAAATGTTCCTCAAACAGAGGTATCGATTATGTTGCATCGAGCGCTGAAGGCTAGTCAAAGGATTGTAAGATCACATCGTCTCTAGCAGTGTAAACTCGTTGCTCTTGTGAGACTGTACCACCCCTCTAAATCTTTACTCACCTTAAACGAGTGTTTGCATTATGCCTGTTGACTGTGGATGAACGTTATGCATTGGCTGCTTCCCAGCCTGCTGCGTTAGTGCTTCTGTTCTCATTGCCAGCATGAGACTGACTGCGAACTGCTTGGAATGAAATGTAACCAATATGCAACTGAGCCTGTGACACACCACACAGTTGTTTGTGATTTCCATGGTGCCGTTTCCATCAGAAACCACACACAGGTCTGTCCGCCATCTTCTCACCATTTTCTCAACTGCATCTTGGTGTTTGTTCAGGATATCTTTGCTCTGCTCTGCTTTCTTAAATATGTCCTCTTCCTCTCTCCTGCCCTCCACACTTGCTTATTTTCTGTCCTTTTCAATTATATTCTCTTCCTTCCTTTTCTCTCTTCTCCCCCTCCTTGTGTTGTGACCATCAACCCCCCTCCCCCCACCCCCTCCCACAGGTATTTAACCCCTCGCTGCAAAGAGTTTTATGATGTAACTAAATGGGTAGAAGATGTGAATAAAAACACTCAAGGACCTTACCTTAGGTATAACTTCAGGATATGCCCCGTACCCTTCATGCTTGTCTTAAGACTCTCACTTTTGGTTTGATTTGTGGCTTGGTCAAGAAAATGAACAATTACTGTAGGTCGAATCTGGACATTTTAAAGTAAAATCTCAAAGATTGAAGCAGGCATGTTCGACTTGCTGTTCCTAAAAGGGGTAGTTGGGTATTAAACTTGTTTTTTTCACTTTCCTTTTAGTTTGAGTGAAGACATTCTTTCTTTTTTGATCAGCTGCACTTTACCTTGCAGATTTTTATTTTCAGCAAATCATTCTGCAGAAAAGAAAATGGCTCTGTGCAAGAGAAACATTCATTCATTCATGAAGTCATCATTCTTAATTTCTCCGTATTCCCTTCTCCCACTCAGTCCCTTGCTGCATGTTGTGTGTTGTTCTGTGTGGTGACCTCACGTGCACTCCCAGTGACCTCACGTGCCTTCAGTGTGATGTCACTCCAGAGCCAAACATGTTTTGGTCCGTGTTGACGTCTTCACTGAGCTGCTGTGACAAACTATACTCCGCCACTCTGATCGTGTCAGAGGTCTATAGCTTTCTATAGCTCCCTTGTTGTTTTCAAGGGAACGTTGTAATCAAGCCACAATGTTTCCTTGAAAACAAGAAGGAAGCTCTGGCCCTGGCACTGTAGAGTTTCACCGTTTGGTTTTAAAGTAACACAATCAATCAGCACCGTAATAGACCTTGTCCAGGAGCAAACCCCTCTGCCTGCTTTCACATTTAATGAAGGACAGAAACAGTCCATAGGATTGAAGACATTTTACATCAGGGAGCTCTGATTCTTGAAGTAAAGCGAAACACACATTTTCAGACTGATTCAACTGATTATTTTCAGAACTTAAATCAGCTCAAAGCAACAACAAAAAAATAGCAGCTGCTTGGGAGAAAAATCTCTGTTGAATCAAGAGAAGTCACAGGCACCACATGGGGCAGATTCACTGGACAGGATCTCCCCCCTGACTCTCTGTTTCTCACCCAGCACCGGTCTGGTCTGTCGTCCCAGTCCCCTCATCATACTCACTGCTCCCAGCATTCCTCATTTAAACACTGATCCTACATTTTTACAAATACACACTAGTTCAATAGAAGTATCTTAAGGTGAATTTCTCCAAATCCTGGCATGATGTGTGTCGGTAATGCTGTGGCAGGTGAAGCATGTGAGTTGCAGGAAACTAGGACTATGCCCACACCGCTGCTGGGAACCATGAACTGTGAACAGAGGTTGCCCCTAAAAGCTGAGCTATGTGTTTAAAAGATGACATGGTCTGTCTGTCTCTGTGCTTTTGGGGAGCAGCAGTGAAAGCTTTTAAGACCAACCTCTCTCCAAAAGAAGGTGAAAACTAGAGCAGCTGAAGGAGGATGTTGCCCAAAGCCACAGATCTAACATTAGCTCCTGAGTCTCGCCTCATTTATCCATCTGTGTCTTTGGCCAACTTAATCCTAAACCAACCAGAACATAAGAGGCACTTTATTAATAATGCCACTTCCTCTTTTCCTCAGGACGCTGTCCCCTGCCAAGTCTCCCACTTCCTCTACAGGATCTATTGCATCCAGCAGGAGATACCCTTACCCCATGCCCCCCCTCCCCGATGACCAGAGGAAAGCCAACAGGCAGAGTGCCAGGGCAAGTGTCAATCATTACACATTACATCATTTAAAGAAAGAAAACCCTGTCAGATTAACTCATGGTATTTGTTACATTATATCATGAAATGCTCAAATAAGACTATTGGTGAACACATGTTAATGTCTTCTTTCTTTCTGTCTTCCCCATCCCTCTCTCTTTCCTGCGCTTTCCCCTTTATCTCCTCAGCTGTGGGAGACATCGATATAACCGCCTTCTTATCCGCTCTGCAAAAGATCTCAAGGAATTACACTTGTGTCTCCTTTTCTATGAATGAAAAACACAAAAACGAAACAAAATTGACTCTAAACGATTTAAGAGAAATGGAGAGAAAGCCCCCCACTGGAGTGGAAATAGGCAAAGGTGTGTGTGAGTGAGTGTGTACAAGCATCTCCGAGGCTTTTCTCGCCACACGGCGTCATTCAGCGGGTGACCATGCGGATTGCCGGCGGAGAAACCAGCTCCACATCCACTCCAGATCAGCTGGAGCTCAGACTGAGCTGTTCCTGTCTGCTCAGGCCTCATTTATGGGGCTGGAAACCCCCCCCGACCCCCAACCTTATCTTACACCTCACACAACCTCTTTACATCCCCTCTCGTCATACCCACTTCAACGCCACTTCCCCGTGTTTTGAGCTCCTCTCTAAAAGGAGCAGTGGAGCCAGGAGCAGGTCATCATATCACTCTGCACCTCTGGATCATTCTGACGCACGTGAATCACTGTAGAAACTCCAACACTGTATGCATGAGACAACCCTGTTTATTACAACCTCCTCCTACTGAAGAGACGAGAAGAACCCAAGTCTGATCTGAGAGGAAAGCATGCGAGGGGGCAGTGATTTTAATACTTTCTGTAGGCTTAGGTACTTTCTCTCCACCATAGGTAACCCATATAGTATCACCAGTAATAGCCCATAACCCCCTGACCCCACCCTGCTCCTCCTGCCCCTCGGTTTGTTTGTGCTGTGTACATATGTACAGTGAAAATACACACAGAGTATGTTTTTTGCTTTTATTTTGGCAATAGAGTCGTCTCTTCCTGCTGTATTGTGTTGTAGACAGAAGCGGATTCTCTGTAGAAAAGCGTAAGACACCCCCGCGCTCGTTCTTCTGTCTGTGTTTCTATTTTCCGTCCTCTTGTTTTTCACTCCTCTGGCTTTTTTCTGTGTGATTGTGGCCTCGATAGCTTTCTCCATCCACAGCAGAATGTAAAGGTGTTTTTTTTACATTATCTTAGCACTGGTTTTTATTCATCTCTGGGAGAAATACACAAACATCCAGTAATAACTGAGGATTGTTTGAGTGGATTGTGGCACATTAAGAGTGTTGATGAGTATTATTTAGGAAGAATTCAATAGTTTTATGTGCCATTCCTGAGAGAAATGAATGGGATGTGTTTGGTGTAGTTATAGGCGTGCCAATTTTCACTCATTTTTGGAAATTCACCATTGATAATGTTAAGATGTGTTTAGTTCCCTAAGTTCTACATTTGGAGGTTTTTGAGGCCAACATGCTCCTTTTTCTACAATAGGCAGCACACGAGGTGGCTCAGATGAGATGTGAGAATAACATGAGTGCGGATGATGACCTGATTAGGACAAGGAATCTGGAAACTGTGATTGAAATGTGCATTTTGGATTTAGCTGTATTGATTGAGATATTTAGCCTTGTAAATGATTAACTATGCTGTACAGTGCTTGCTGTTTGAGCTTGTGAAGACCGACAGCATGACAGTTCTATAATCAAATTAAGTTATTTCTCTGGTAGGCTATTTGTGAGACCATAACGGTAAACAAGCATGTCACTGAAGGACTTTTTTTCTCCATCATTGCCTTTTTGCTGTTGTCCAATTTTTTTTTTCCGTACTGTAAGCAAATTCAGGACAATTCATGGCAGAAAGTCGCAGGGTCTAAACATTAGTGAGAATGGAGGACACCGTTTTTGTGCTGATTTAACTATTTAAGGTGGACTTTGGAAATGTATCACTCCCCAAAAGCAAGTTCTTTGTACAGTTACGACTCATTGTTCTACCTTGTGTAGAAATTGTCGTCTCAAGGCCTCCTGTTCGTCATTTTACCGTTGTTAGTTTTTGTTCAGGTGTGGGCACTTGTTCATTTGTAATTCATGTATGCATTAGGACTGTATAGGTAATACGATCTTTACAATATTGGACTAATATTGCTACTAGTATCTTTTTTATTAAGTACCTTTGTAATTTTCACTTTTTTCTCAGCGTTATGTACAGCAACGATTCAAACTGTTATTAAGTGCATTATTGTAATTATACGTGTTGATGAGTTTCAATGGAGAGTTTTTCATTTTAAACACATTTGTCCCTGGGCCAATAGAAGTGCCAGTTCCTCTGGCATTTTCTCCTCGGTATCATATAAGGTTTGGACACACATAATGATGTAAGTGAAGTCTGTATGGGCTCATGATTTGCCTTTTACCTGAGCTTTCTTGTCTTTGCTGTGGTCTTCTTAAAGTGTGTGTAAGTGTCCCAGGGCTGCAGAGAGCCTTATCTCAGAGCTCTTGAGAAACATTTGTACCATCATACTGTGCTACAGCGAGACATCTGTCCTGTTGGTATGTACGGTGCACTGTGCTACTCTGAGGACTCTCCGCTCAGGATGGGACCACGCAGGCTGCCGTGATTTCTGTCAAATGTCCAAACGTCTCCTCTTGAATGTATTCATGCACCGCCCAGCATCCACCATGTGGTCCCATCCTGCCCGACACATCAGCACTCTGCAGGAACCTTGAAGCCACCCTCCCTCACCTGTAGGCTACTAGTTTAAATATAAATACTGCAGTTGCTGTGTTTTACTTCACCCCTTTTTTTCTTTTTGCCTGTATGCTGTACAGACTTATGATGCAAAAATCAATCCTCATATTTTTTTCCTCTTAATTATTCTATATTATTGTAATATATTTAATATAAAATAAAACTTTCATCAACACATCTGTCTATGTGGATATTTCTAACTTCAGACTGTACTTCTTGTATCAAAACTTGCTTTATTAATTAATTTGTATTACACAATATAACAGGATGCACTGATCCAATGATGGCCAGATATGACTGATCCACTGCTTTAGCTAACTAAGGTTCAGCGTTCCTCTCTTCCTAACATTCATTCAGATAAAGCAGGTTAAGATTTGACGCCACAATAACACCCGGGCTCTTGTTACCTTACAGTTCAAATATTTTAAACTTGGGAGGGAAAAGGAGAGCTCTAGTATTGGATACGTACTCTGTTTTGGAAGATACCCAGGGTCGAGGTTTGTGGATCAGTAATGAAGAAAAAGTTGGATCAGTGCATCGCCACAACACAACAAATAAATACAAACTTGATCTTCGTGAACAATCTGGTGAAATATAATTAAATGTATCTGGCTCAAAACATAGTGCTGCTTTTGCATTTGATGGTCAACATACTTTAAATGGGTAAGTATGTTGCATCGTTACTCAATAAAGAGGGGCCATGTTGACTGAGGCTTAGATTTTGATAACCTTCGACCAGCAAGCAAATATTCAAAGCACAGGTCAACCCTTTGAGCCACATTGGATTTTTTGACTTCCAGGGACAGTTCTGCGCTGAAAGCCGCATTTTCTGTTTCCAGAGGGCTTTCTCAGGAGACACCGTTCCCCTGGCTTTAAGCTTTATGTGGTTTGAAACTTTTTTGGAAACAACCCATCCGTCATTGTCCAGCAGAAATGTTGCCCAAGTTCTTTATATAGACGTGTGTGAGTTGTGCTTCAGTGTCTGCAGTGTCTGCAGTCTCTGCTGATGGACGTCTTTATTTTCCATTGCATCGTCTTCATCGAGGGATTCCCGTATGTAACTTTTCAAATGGTCGATACCGGACCCCGTGAGGGCCGAGACAGGAACCACGTGTCTGAAGGTCATGTAGTTCTTCGGTATCATGTCATCAGCAAGCAGATGAGAGAACTCTAAAGGAAGGAGAGATAACAGAATTCATATTCACTTCATTTTAGGGCTGCTACTATGTTTATTTTCTTTATCAATTATCTTCTCATTATATTCTAGATTTATTGTTTGGTCTACAAAATATCTTCCAAGGCTCAAAACCCAAAGATATCTGATTACGCTTCTTATAAAAAAGAAAAACCGAGGATATAGCAATGATCTTATAAATAGTTGCAGAAAATAGTTCTACACTAAAACACAATAACCCTAAGACATTAAGTTGAGTAAAAATGTGCATTTTGTAATGTTATTACATATCGAGATGGTATAGCATTAAGCGTGTTAGCATTTAATACACTTGTTTTCTGCGTCTTATAAACAGTTATTCATAAATGAATGGACCTTTAATATTTGCTTGAGTTTCAAAGGGCTTGGGTTGTTTGTATATTATGACAGGGCACTTTTCCCCTGCATTCAGCCTAATGGTGATTGCTATAGCACCATTGTTACATTATGTTGGTTTCAGCTAAATATTCTTCACGAAATATTATACATTTTGTTTTCATATTCACTGATTATATCCATCTTCTGAATAAGACAATTATCGTCATTGGCAAATGTCTCACATCCTAGAATTCCATAATTCGCAGAGGACGTTGGTAAATCGCTACCTATTTTGGGATCTTAAGGCAAAAGAGTCGTCTATGTTTAACTACATCTCATTCAAATATAAAGCTATTAAATAAGCCAAATTTACCGGCTGGATTTTGTAGTTGCTCCTTCAGCTCTGCAAATTTGTCCTCAGCGTCAGGCAGGTCCATTTTGTTCACCACCAGTAGAGCAGGCTTCGACACAAGCTCCTCTTTGAACAACTCCAACTCCTTGAGTCCGTGGTGAGAGAGGAGGAGGGGAGATAAAGAAATATTTATGGCATGAGATGGATGGATGAGGCGTCAAGTGAAAGAAAGGAAAGGTCAAAAAAAGTTCTAAAGATGTATGCAACTCTTTATTTACAATAAGAGCTTTATTAGAAAGATTTTAGGATATGTTTTGATCAAAAGTCGTATCATCAGTCTCACCTTGGTTAGAAGTTGAATGGCTTCAAAGGCCGACCTAAACGGTGTTTTACTAGCCAGCTGGAACCCGGAAACATCCACCTGCAGCCAGAAAAAAGAAAACATCTGGTTATTCTGACCACATTTGAGGCGGGTTGCATGTTTTCCTCAAATCGTATACACATGTAGTTTTCAACGTATGACTTATTTCAGTCACAACGCACCACAAACATGAGCTGCTTGGTCCTCTCCACGTGTTTGAGGAACTTGTGGCCCATGCCTTTGTTTATGTGAGCTCCCTCAATCAGGCCTGGCAGATCCGCAACAGAAATCTGCCAAAAATACAAAAAGAAATATGAAGAACCTCACTAAATAAGGGGAAACTAGAAAAATAGACAAATCAATTGATATGTAAAAACAAAATACATTCCCATACCTGTTTGTAATCTTTATACATCAGTTTGCCGATCTCCGGCCTCAAAGTTGTGACTGTAAAATGACAAATAGATTTTAGAAACGCAACAAAAAAAAGATCACAGTATACATCCGCAATATTTTGTACTCACAAGCATAGTCGGCAATCTGAGGAGTTGCATTAGACATGGCAGTCAGGAGAGAGGACTTCCCTGCATTTGGGTACCTGACGGTGAATCAACACCAAGAACATCAGATATTAAAGAGAAATATGTGTGCCATGTGGAGTCTCATATGAAATAAACTAAATGTTAAGTCATGTGTGTTTCTGCTGTCACCCAACAAGGCCCAGGTCCGCGATGAGTTTGAGATCCAGCCGTATCTGTTTGATCTGACCCTTAGTGGGCTCGAAGGCAGAGTGGAAGGAGCCTCCGTATCCTCCTTTGGCCACCTTCAGACGGTCACCCTCAGCATTCAGGTCACCTTGGAAGGACAGGGTTGAAAAGTAACATTAAGTTTTCAGTTGCTTTGCCTCTCCTATCTGATACTGATGTTCTGCCACATATGATGTTCTTACCTCCACAAATACAACAATGAAAATGCATTGGACAACATGTAGGAGGTGTACAAAAGTTTTACATACCAACTATTTTGCCATCATCAGCGGTGACTGTGACACCAACAGGAGCCAAGATCTCCTTGTCCTCCCCCCTCTCTCCTTTCAGTGCTCGGACGCTGTCAATAAATACAGTTCACACACTCAATACACAAAACAGCCCTTAGCATCTGTGACATGACATGTTTAAGTTTTTTTTTGTCAATGTATTGAACATGACAGAAACAAACAATAATAATAATATCTATTTTTTTTCTTATAATAATCATTATAAAAAAGACAAAAAAAAACGTTCAAGGTACATACAAATAAAAATAAGTTCTCAAATAGTCTGAGTCTCTGTCATGTTCAACACGGGCAAGAAGAAGAAGCTTAAAACAACTTTTCTGGTCCTACCCCCTCTAGCGTACATTTTTATTGAAGATAAAAGATTAGGTCACCGTCATCAGCGTCATGTTTTAAACACATTTTTTTTTTTTTTACAAAACAATACAAAATAAATAAACTAAATAACTAAAATGACAAGAAATAACAAGTATGACTTTACAGATCCTGCGCATTACCATTCATGATTTGGCTTCTAAATAATAGTTTTAGTTTAGATAAATATAAAGTTTTAGATAAAGATTTAAGTCGTCAGCTTATGTCAATGATTGGTGAATGAGCGCCACAACATATATTCTGATGTGACACTATGAGAGAGGAAACTTCATTTGTAGAAACAAACCTGCTGTTGGCTCCTGGTCCGGCCAAAAAACGTTTCTGGGGGTACTTGTCCTTGACCTTCTTCAAGGTCACTTTTTTTGAAGCCACCACCCAAACATCCCCCCCGTTTCCTCCATGTCCCCCGAGACGGGGAAGACCCATTCCCCCACTGCCTCCTCGGACGTACAAACGTAGGTTATCCACAAAGTTTCCATACTGTAGGAGGCAGAGAAATACAGTGGTGAGATCTAAATGTGTGGGAGAAACTTTAGAGACAAAGCCATTCATAAACAGCTCCCTTCAAAACGGGTAAGCTAAACTACTGAAATGTTAATATTTTAATAAACAACATTTACTGAGATGTGGCAGCATTGTGAGAAAGGGAAGACTGGCTGAAAGAGATACTGTAGGATTACACAATGGCCATAGTCAGTTACTTTTAACTACTAGTAATAATGCGAGTGATTAAAACAATTAAAAATGCAGGTGTTTATTGTATTGGTTTAGTAAAAGATCCCAAGCAGTTTTACTTTTTAAATAAAAGACAACAACGGGAAGTGTGGCTCAGTGGATAGAGCGTTGGTGTTCGGATCAGGGGGTCACAGGTTCAAACCCCACTGCAGTCAGCATGTCGTTGTGTCCCTGGGACACTTCACCCCAAAGGGATCCTGTGGGGATTGCCCACAGTATTGAGTATGTAAGTCGCTTTGGATAAAAGCGTCTAACAAGTAACATGTAATGTAAGTCTTAGGCATGTTTAAGTCTAGATGTGAATGAACTACTAAAAGTACTTTTTACTTACAGCATCTGAGTTTGCATGTAAACACATCCAACAGGATTTGATAGCATTGTTTAGTCAAACGATACATTAATAGTTTATTTGAATAATGAGAAAATGAAATCACCAATTAGGAAAATAACAGAGATGACACACACTATTTCCAAGGACAGACATGCATTTTCATACATAAAAATATATCCTTATTGTCATTGCATTGCTAGCATCATATAAAGATTAAACGTTTAGGAAAAATATGAAAATAAAGGCTACAGAGGCACTGCAAGTCAGTCAATGTGTTGACAGCAGTTAGCAAGAGGTAGCTAACAGTTGATTAACTGCCAATGTCACCATAACAGTGGTTAGTAAACAGACACTTTTGAAACGTTAGCATGTTATTTACATAATGAATGCTACAGTACTTACTTTCCGGAAGAGGATTCTACTTAACTGGACCATCTTCAGGGGCGTTTATTGCCACTTTTGTGTTGTTGACTGAGCTAGCGGCTAGGTTCACATGTGTTTGTATGAAGGACCGGAAGTGTTTAGGTTATCTCATAGCCCATTGGATCATGAGGCAAATAGGCGGGTTTCCGCAAGGCTGAGTGACAGCTGCTTTTTGTGCATATAAACAAAGCAATGACGTGAGGTTCTCGTGAGATTTCATGCTGTTGAATCACAAGATTTACCACAACAATCCTTTACCTAATTTTTTGAATCTATTGTTGTATAGAAGTTGCACATGTCATCTGCTTTTTTTAAAATAAGCTACCAGCCATATCATAATAGTGCTATTTAGGCGTTGTGAAATGTCTATATGGATTAAAGGTAGGCGGTTTTGTCAGGAGGAACACTGAGGGTGGTTTCCTCTCTATACAGTCCAAATGTAGCCTACTTGTTTAAGTATATGGATAATGTTTAATTGGTTATAGGCTTATTCTGAGAAAAGCAAAATCACTAAGATGCTGTCCAACATTTTCATATTTTGGGATTTAAAACATATATCAACCCTTTCAATTATTGTCAAAAACAACCTTGTCCTGAGCATTGTTGATGACCCTGTTTGTATTGTAATTTTTACAGACTTGACCTTTCACCGTCTAGTCAAGGTCAAGTCAGTCAACTTATCTTTCAGTTTTTGTGTTCAGATATACAGTGATATATGTTTGCATAATACAGCTCTGTTTTACAGTGTTGTAAAGTAACTAAGTATTTACTCAAATAATGTACAATGCTGAGTATTAAAATGTGTTGCTACTTTGTACTTCCACTCAACTTTATCAGATTTATTTAAGACCGTTAGTTACTTTGCAGATTTGGATTAATGTTCCGAAATATAAAAACACTTAAGTAAGACTTTAGTTACATCTGATGTAAAATGCACATACTATCCGTTATCAAAGATATTACATTTAGCTGCACCTTGCAGCTATGAGCAACACTTTAATGCATCAATAATCAAAACATAATATATATTATAATACAATGGGCCAATCTGCCTAATGAGTAGGCCTACTTTAATTTGAGGTATTTTAAGTACATTTTGATGGTAATACTTTTTTACTTTTACTTGAGCAACATTTTGTATACATGACTTTGACTTGTAACAGAGTATTCTCTCTGGTAGGCTACTTCTATTTTAACTTTAGGTCAAGATTACCTCTGCTGTTGTAATATGCAACCACCTGATTTGAAATGTATCTTGAGATCACAGCTTCCCACTGAAGGACCTCTCAGTGAGCAGCATGTCGGCGGCGCTGTGAGGATGAGGAGGCTGAGAGATGCTCTGATCTTCCGGATCTCTTCTTCTCCGTGAACGGTGCAGTGAGATGCGCATGTGACCGAGGTAAGTAGCTATGTGTGTATGTCGTTGGTCTCTTTGCGTGTGTGTGTGTGCGTGTGTGTGTGTGTGTGTGTGTGTGTGTGTGTGTGTGTGTGTGTGTGTGTGTGTGTGTGTGTGTGTGTGTGTGTGTGTGTGTGTGTGTGTGTGTGTGTGTGTGTGTGTGTGATGACGAGAGAGGTTGGCTTATTATCTCATGCAGAAGCCCGGACAGTCGAATAGGTCCTCCCACCGATGTCTGGCTATTTATACGGTTAGAACCGCAGCCGTGGGTCGTGATAAGAGGACGCGGCTTGGACACAGAGATTCATCACAACGCGGTAAGAGATGCTGTTCTTGGCCGAGTGTTGCCGGTGCCGGTGTGTGTTTGACCTAAATTGTGCAATGACCGTGACATAGACGCTAGTCGCATGTGCTCATTGTGCCTTATTGGATGCATGCTGCAAGGACCGCTGCTCGGAGTCAGGACTGTGTGGTGTGTGGTGTGTAGTGGTGGGAGGCTTCAGCCCATGAGGATGATGTGGTAACAGACTGCAACATCATCCAGGTCCTCCACCAGCTTGTGCTGCAATAACATCCCCACATATACTCATCTTGTTCTGGTTTCAAGTTGAAGGCCTGCACAAATTAAACCCACCTTTAAAACAGAACCTGCATTAAATCAGAAATAAAGAGCAATCCTGATTTATTTATTTTTGTTAAATAATTAACGGCAAATAAACTAATAATTGTTACTCTTTTGACGACATTTGACGTTAAAAGTGTAACATTTGGCCTAAGTTTTATTGTTTTCATTTGTTTTCCAGAGCCCACAATACTAAGTAGCCTATGCGAGTTCTAGAAAAGTATGGCCCTTCCTCTCATGCTGTACAACACGCACATGTAGGCACATGAATGGGCAGGGATCCAGTACAACAAACCAAAAACAAGCAGCAAACATTAAAATCAACATTTCTTATCATTTCCTATTTTAGTTGTGGATGTATTGTGTTATCCTTGCAGGTAAAGGACTGGTTTGGATGATTGGCACTTTAACGTTGCTATTAAAGGAGTTAAATCAAATAAATAAAAACACAGTGAATAAAGAACACAGACTTTTGCTCAGTCTGTGTTCTGATTCATGCATTTGGCAACATATTTAAATTTCCTTGAGAAAAACATTTACAGCAAAGTTGTTGCATCATTTACATCCGGCAGAGACTACATACTGTAATTTAATCCCACTGTTCATTTGCTTTTTAAGACAGGAGATGCAATTAAAAGCCTACAAAATAAGCTAGTTATTGGTGCTTTCGGTTGGTATTTTTTTCATTTTACCAAACTGTTCCCTTCTGTTAATTGGTGGAACATCTTGTTAAACGACAGTCTAATCTTGAATTTGAATACATTCATGTGGATGAGATGCACTGATTTAAAGGTGTGCACAGTGAAAGTTTCAGCAAAAAACCCAAACTGTTATGACTTTTTGTCAAATCGACCAGTGGCATGGAAATACCAGTATCAGCCGGCCAGCTGCGGGCACAGCCTTTTCCAAACAGGGCATGCAATTTGTGGAATCCAAGTGCTTTCAATGAAAAGGGTAAACAAGCCAGTGACCAGACAACAGGTTACAGACAGGTCAGACAGGGGGGATAGGGGGGTGTGCAGCAGGGTTGGAGACAAGGGAGTTATACAAGAAGTTAGCCATAGTTTTGGGTTGTAAGACAAAGGTGTTGTGGCCAGTAAGTAACAAATTAAGTAAGACAAAGGTGTTGTGGGTAGTGTTTTGGTTAGGGTTAAGTACAACACTGGGGCGATAGGCACTGTTTGCTGTGTCTGGTGGGAATGTTTTGGCGGGAGTGAGTGTGGTGGTGTTGGTAGTGGTATGAGAGGAGGAGGAGTTCTGTCAGCATGCCAACACCACATTCTCACCCTGCTGCTGTTGAAAGGGCCGGTAAAGACATGAACAGGTCCAGTGGGATTAGAGCCTACTCGAGGAGTGATCATGGGGGATTTGCTGCCCGGCGGGCACACAATGGCACTGTCGTGTAACACACAAACACACACTGCACATGCTCAACTGCAAAGTTTAACAACAGACCCAAGCCTACATAAATCTGATTAGAACTCCCCTTTGTTTGGGAAGCCCCACCGGGGTTAACAGACTAGCCGTGTTTGATATGACAGGGGGTGGGTTGACGTTGGTTGGACGGCAAAGAGAAAAGCTTGGGGCACGTTTTGTTGTGGCGGGGTGTTTCCACGTGCGTGAAGTCCCAGACAGACAGGGAGGGCTAGACTGTGTGTGAAAGCACAATAACAGGATGAACAAGAGTTTTTCCCCCATTCAGTGTGTGGGCACGAGTCAGCTGATGATAGTTGATGCAGACAGGATCTAAGCTAACATGAGACAACAACAACATAGGCAGACACAAAGACTGCAAGCCGGTTTGAACCTGTTCAAATAATGAGACTCAGGATAGATGCTTGGATGCATTGGGGGGACAAAGCACAAACGGGTCTCCGCTTTTAGTAGAGTACCGAATGGACATTTACAGAAATAATTTCTATCGTTCCTTTCTCAGTGCCGGCTCTGGCCCAGGCTGCAGCCATGCCTCTTCTGGAAGAGACCACTCTCCCACAAGTGCACCCACCCACTCTCCCTGTGGTCATTATAGGTAAACGTTTTGCACTTACCACCTGACCTTAAGTTGTTTGAATTCTTTCTCATTCTAATGTGTGTGATGCAATGCTTTGTGCTCTTTTGTGGTGCTTAACCAAATGTTTCCAATCTGTTTTTAGGCAATGGCCCATCTGGTATTTGTCTGTCCTACCTGCTGAGTGGACATAAGCCGTACCTTGATACAGCAACAGTTCACCCAAACCCGATACTATACAGGAAACTACAGGAGTCCAAGCAACTATCCATCACTGAACAGGCAAGAACATCTATGAATTCCTTGCACATGTACACATGATCACAGTCACTCTTACATGTCATGAAATTGACATTTTTGTTGTTGCAGGATCTGGAATATTTGAGCGAAGGTCTCGAGGGGAGGTCAAGGAACCCGGTGGCTGTGCTTTTTGACACACTTCTGCACCCCAATGCTGACTTTGGCTACGAGTTCCCCCCAGTCCTTCAGTGGAAGAGGGACAAGCAGCAACACGTCCCACATCTTGTTCTGGGGAGGGCAACGCCTGGAGGTGCTTGGCATGTAAGTTTCAGGTTCAGTCTGCAACACCATTTAACTATCTATATTTTCTGTCAATGCTGTTGTTTTTGTCCGTCTCTGACCCTTCTCTTCTTTACCCAGGCAATGGAAGGCTCAATGCTGACTATTAGTCTTGGCATCTGGATGGAGCTTCCTGGGGTTAACTATAGGGACTTGACTAACGGGAAACGCAGGTACTGAGAAAGGTTGACAGCAAAGATATGACTAAAGTCTCGGCCTCATTCTGTGCCACCTCTTACCTCATTGTCTTTCTCTTCTCTCTAGAGATGTAACCAGTGACAGAGCCACCCCAGAGGAGATCTCGTCCTATTACCGTAACTATGTGAAGCTTAAGGGCCTCCAAAATAATTTTGTTGACAACACCTACGTGACCTCTGTTCAGAAACTCTGCCGGGGGCAGGAGGGGGAAGGTCTGGAAAATAGGCACACTGATCAAGGAGATGGAGGGGTGGGAGATGGTGGGAATCAAGGCTTTGAGGGTAATGGG